GTCACCCCACTCCAGGAAAATGTGTGTCCCGTCAAAGCCACAACGCAGCGGGGTGGCAGGTCGGGGCCAGGGGAACCCGCCAGGGTGTCCCGCACGGTTCTTAGCCAAGCAGGCAGGGCTCGGTGAGCAGCAGCTCGGCCAGGGCCGGGCAGGGGCCCGGAGCCCGTGGAGGAGTCAGGACGTGCTCCAGGACACGAGCCACGGGGACCCACCGGTCACATGGGCCAACGGCAACAGCACCCAGGGTCATGCCTGACAGGCTGAGCGATGCAGTAAACCCCACAGGCCAGGACCGGAACCCAAGGCACAAGGTGAGGATCCAAGAGTTCAGGCAGCTGTGAAGAACTAACCGAGGAGGAAAGTGAGGGCAAAGAGAAAACTGTTCCTTGGAGGAGACACAGCCCCTCTCTAGGAGGCGGAGCTCAGCAGCTCCCTGGCGTCCCCAGTGCAGGGAGGCAGCCCACTCTGCAGCGGAGACCAGCGATTCAGACAAGATGTAAACCGAGGGGCGGCTGCGCCACACCTGGCCAGGGCTCTGCGACGTCATCAGAATCAGCAGAAACAAGGGAAAGCCGAGAGCCAGCCGCCAACTGGGGAGACAGAGGGGGACCCTGGGGCAGAGGACGGCGGCCAGCTGTTGAGCCAGATGGCGAGCTCCAAGAGGATGGGTGACCGGCCCAGTGTGGCAGTGCGCTGCACACTTCTCACGGCGAGGGAAGCAGGGAGACAGCGGCTTGGCACCTTCAGTGTGTCAAGAGGAAACACTGTCACTACACACCCAGGGAACTGACCAAGAGCAACGTCGACCAAGCTGGGACACCGCATGGGTTCTTTCCCGGGGGCCTCCGCAACAGGTACATACGGCGGAATAAAAAGGGGCCCAGGAGATGCGTTGGGAAAGGAGAAGGGTGAGGAGAAAGGCAACGGCTCAAGGGCCGCAAAGCCAAATGCACAGAGGAGGGGCAACAGTGAGACCGCTGTCCACTCAGCAATGCCAAACAAAGCAGGAGGTGATGCTGCCGTTGGCCGCTGCTGGCGGAGACCCAGGAGGGCAGCCGGCCAGGGCTCTGGGCACGTTTGCGTTTCTGATGAACAGTAACTTCTTCACACCGCGCTGTCCAGGCGTGTGTCCTCTTCTCAGCCTGGCGACCCTGACGGGCTGATGGGCCCAGCTGTGGCTGCCTGGTGGGGGGGACCCTGCCTGCCGTGCGCGGCCCCAAGGCTCTCCAGGAATACAAAGGTCAGGGGCTGCGAATCTGCTGACTCCCTATAGGGAGCAATGGGCGCAGGGAGCCTCATCCACATGAAGGGAAGGCAAGCAAGAGGAGAGAGCTACAGAAAACAGGGCAAGCTAAGAACAAAAGGAGATGGCAGAAATGAATCTGAAGACTAAGTAATCAAAGTGGAAATGACCAAGACTTCCACTCGGCGCAGACTGGTGGACTGGATGTAAAAAGGCTGACAGGGTCCAGCTTCTCACTGGTTACAGCCTGAGCACGAGGCCAGAGTCAGGGATGGGAACAGATGGGCCACCAGGCAGCTGGGTGACACCCTGAACACTAGTAGAGACTCCAAGGGAAGCCACAACCCGGTCTAAAATGGGCCCTCTGCAGTGACGGGACATCAGCTTACCAAGGGGTGGCGGCTCTGACTCCTGCACTCAGGGGAACGGCTTCAGAAGGAACAGCCGAGGCAGAGCCTGGGCCCTCTGCGGGAGGGTTCGGCACGCTTCTCAGAGCAGCAGGTCAGAACCGGGGAAGCCAGTGTGAGTGTCACTGTTGGCAACCTTGGCAAGGGGACATGAGCGGGATGGTGCCGAGCAGACGGTGGACTGGTGGCTACAGACACACCTGGGTCCGTGCAGTGACCATAGTCACCACAGGAACCAGTGCCAGCTGATGGTCTTTCCTCACCCCAGCCCCATCCAAGGAAGCGCCCAGTCGGCGGGGCAGAGAGAGATGTGCTGGGCCAAGTGCTATGACACAGCTGGCCGCCCAGCAAGGACAACTGCAGGCTGCCGTGTCTGCAGCTGGCCGCCAGCGGACTGGGCCAACACTGTGCATCAACTCTCACCAAAGGCTGTGGGGGTAGAAGAACAGGCCCGCCCAACTTTGGTTCATTAAAGAGACTTCTGAAGAGCTCTTGATAAAACTAGCACTTCCTGCTTTTTGATGTGTTTCAGTAAAAGAACAGTTTCCTACTAGCACAGCAAATGCAGGAAGTGGGAACAGGCCCAGGTGAAAGCCCAGCTCTCTGCTGTTGCTTTACAGTGCTTGTGGAAGGGCTGTAAAGTGCACACGGCTGCACAACGCATCCGCTGCCTTTGAACTGTGGCACACGGGAGGCAGCGTCACGCTCCTGACGGTTTAAAAGGCAGACTGGGATTCCCGCCAGGGCAGCGCCAGGCCGCTCCCCAGCACGTGATGCACTTGCTCCGTAGTGTGCCTGATTTACAGCAGGGTGCACACTGCCCGCCATGAGGCCGGACCATCAGAGGCCGGAGTTGGCTGGTGCCCACTCTGCCCAGACCCCTACAGCGCCTGCCTGCTGTCCAGAGCCTGGCTGAAGATGGCCTGAGACTCCACGGGGAGTCTTGGGGCCCACCGGGGATGTCGCCCTTGGTCTGCACAGCCAGACTCTGGCCTTGGGCCCCAGCCGGCCGTCCACACTGCCACTCCGGTGACACAGGCCAGGGTGCCCAACTGTGCCCCACTGCTCTGTCACTGGGCAGGGGCCCCTGGGAAGAGCCCGGCACACAGCCCACAGTCTGGGGTGACATCGTGCTCCCATCACTCAGTGGACACACATGGAGCTAGGGTCCCCGGCCTCAGACGCCTCCTGTCCATGTGTCTGCCGGCGGGGTGGGGGGTGGGGGGCTCACACACCTCGAAGGGACCCTGCGAGAGGAAGCAGCTTAGAGAGCCCCACCTCATGTCACTGCAGACCTCTGTCATCAATGCACCTCCCCGAGACCCCACCAGGCGCCGCGGGACAGCCCTGACCAGCCTGGGCTCAGGGGCGGGTCCCTGGAGCCCACCTGACCCTTATGGGCACTCTGTTCCTGGGCTCAGGGCCTCTGGCTTCGGCGTGCCTTGCAGAAGGGGCTGAGTGACAGGCTCACTTTGGCCTCCACCGTCCTCCTGGGCTGGACCCAACAGCCGCGTGCTGTCTGCACTCTCCCCCTCTCTGCGCCCTCTTCTCAGCTCTGCCTCTGGACTTACGAGGGGCCAACGACCTCCCCAGTACCTGACGCATGTGGTCACAGGGCTGCAACTTCAGCGGGTCCCCTCTCCCGAGCCTCAGGCCGGGCCTTGTCACTGGCGTCCTTCAACTCTGGGGAAGGCTCACAGCCCCGGGCCCTGCAGTCTGAGGCATCACCATGGCCACAGGCCCAGCCCCGGAAGCGCTGGGTCCAGGCGCAGCCTCTCCCTCACTGTCCCTGTGGGGTCGTGTACACCTGGCCTCTTGATGATGCCATGGCCCCTGCCCCGGGCATCTCCTGCCCATTCATGCCATCGAGCCCTCCTCCTCTGCAGGGACACCCACCGAACTCCACGCCAGGCGCGGCTTGTGGCCCTGGGGCTTGTGCTGCCGCTGCGCGCCAGGCCTCGGGGTCAGCAGGCCCCCACTGTCCCCTCCCACGGGCCTCGGCCCGAAGGACAGCCTGCATGGTGACCTCCACTCTGTACTGTCTAGGATGACACCTCCAGGCCGGGCCCCCGCGACGCACTTGTCCCCAGCAGGCTGATGCCTGGTGGGACTCGGATGTTTCCCTCCCACCCGCACCTGCTCCCTGTCATGGAGGAGGCCCCTGAGAGTGGGCTGCCCTGTGGACACCCGCGGCTCCACACTAGCCAGAGCTGCCGCCCCATCAGCGGTGCTTCCCGGAATGACTGGCACTTACAGGTGACACTGCCAGTGCACTGGGGTCTGCAAACTGGCACTCCAGCAGGGCTGGATGGAGAGAGGGACACCCCATGGACAGACGGCCCCACCTCCACACAGGCCCAGGCAGTGGAGCCCAGAGGGCAGTGGAGGCCAAGTGCTGCACCGCTCCCAGGTGTGGGCCTTGTGTCCCCACGGCAAGGCTGCCCTGTCGGGGTGCTCAGAACCTGGGCGGGCTTGTGGCCGTGTGACGATCCCTCCTAGGACCTGTGCCGTCTGCCCTCAGGGCACAATGAGGGCATACGTGGCCTGCGCTAGCACCAGGGACTGTGCGCCCTGCTTCCACTTCCCGTTCCAGAGACTCAGCTCTGCCACGTGCTCCAGAGGGTCCCAGCTGCACTAAGAAGGGCTCCGCAGCTCCTGCCTCGGGCCCAGCCCATGACCGGACAGCTCTCAGCCAAGCAGACTGGCACTCCGGGAACCTGGATGCAAGGAGTGCACCATCCTGCCGGGTGCAAAAGCTCCAGGGGCTCATTCCTCTCGGGTGTGACCTGGCTCTCCGAGGCTGCTGTGCAGGGCACAGATCTGCAGACTCAGTCCTGAGGTGACAGAGCACAGCACAGCCAGGCCTGGGAACCAGCCCCGGGCACAGAGCAGGCTGCTGGGGACAGGCCGTGGCTCAGCCTTGAGCCACCCGAACCCACCGAGAGTTGCCTAGAGAGGCGAACTGCCCAGGGAGGAAGCTAGTAGCAGCAGCAGCAGCAGCATTCCACCACGGGATCCTGGATGTTGCACATATGACAGGCACACAGACCAAATGAGCACGTGCCACAGAGAGCCCTGGACCGTCTGCATGGAGCACGCTTTCTGCGGGTGCTCTCCCCGCCTTCGGGCCACCACCAAAGACTTCTTCCACTGAAAGAGCGAGACTAGGCAGGGTGGAGAGGAGCGCGCAGCAGAGCTGAAAGCAAAGGCGAACAGCCCGTGGGTCAGGCCCTGACTACAGCTCTGGGCAGCAGGCCTGCGGCCATTGGTGTGGTGCATCCTCGGGGTCTCTGTACCTCGTTTCCCAGCAGAGCAGAAACACAGGCTTCCGAGGCATCGCAGATGGCTGTCAGGTCATGGCCTCCCTCGAGGGCCAGCACGATCCGGCCGCCGGCCAGGCCCATCAGCTGCTTCGTCAGGTACCCGAAACCTGCAACAGGAAAGGGAGGTGGGGAGCATTGTGGCAAGGTGCTTCCCACAAGAACCAGGGGTGGGGCACTGCCATCCCTGGCAGGGCCCAGTGAGACTCATGAGTCCACTGAAGAGCCCAGCTTGGGACCCTCTGGCCTATGGGGAGCATGCGGGGTATTTTTGGTGTGCTCTGAGGGCGGAGCCAGCTAACCCCACCAAGGGACTGCACCATCTACTGCTTCCCAGGGGGCCCTGCTGTCCCGGGCAGCTGGTGTGCTCTGCATGTGTGCATGCACGCACACACACACAGGTATAAGCACACACAGGTCAGCGCTGTGATGCCCACATAGGGATTTCTATGTTCACATCTGGGTGTCTATTTCGATTGAGTCCCACAGTGCCTCTTCTATGCCCAATGTCCACCCTAGAGATGGCACTTGTTGCTTGCTGCCTGGTCACCCGTTGGCCATGAGACCCCATGATGAGGGACAGGTTTGTCTGAGCAGCCACACTAGAGTGGCTCTGTCTCCCTGGGGCCCCAGGGTGAAGGCACTGGCTGCTGGCACCATCAGTACTGGCTAGGAAGTAAGGTAACTTCCCTTCAGTCACAAACCGAACAGAGCTGGTCCCGACCGACACTTACATCTGGCAGAGAGGTTGTACCCTCCGAGAGGTGTGGGGTGGCCCTCCACGGCATCGAAGCCCGATGACACCAGCACCATGTCTGGGGCAAACTCATTGGCAATTGGCATGACCACGGTTCTGCAAGGGCAGGAGAAGGTGTCACCAGACCAGCAGAGGACATGGCAGAGGGAGGATGGGCGGTCACCAAACATGGGTGGTCGGAGGGTACGTCCACACAGGGTCCACTGCAGCAAGTGGGCTGGAGTCTGAAGGCTCACTTAGCTTGAGGGAATTCACCCACGAGATGGTGGAGCACGTCACAGGTATGTCCGAAGCCTGCACCCACAGCCTCAGCGTAAACGCCAGTGCAGGTTGTGGCACTGGGGCCCCAGGCTTTCTGTCTCCGAGGTGATCTGGAACCACTGCGGCACAGGCTGTGTTCACACCGGTGGAGGGAGTGTCACCCCAGCTGTCCCCACCCCAGCTCTGGCCCTGGCCACCTGATCATTCCTGCAGAGGCAGGGTGCCCTGCCTGAGACAAGGACAACAAACACTTCCCAGGGCATCCATCCAAGCACGTGCAGTACCGTCCCCGTGCATGGCACAGGAAGGCTGGGCACCCCGGCAGGCCGTGCCAGCCCTGCAGAGGCCTGGTGCCCCCGACCAGTGACTACATACACGTGCGAGTGAACTAAAAAGCACGTAGACACTTAGGGTGATCAGAAGGCACAGTGAGAACACACTTCAGAATTCTGGGAAATACAGTGGTTTACATCTTCTGGGGACATGAATGAGATATTTCACTTGAGAAGTGGGAAAACCACCTCTTAATGCACAACCCCTGTGCTGCTCATAGTCGAACACTCAGCAGATAGCAGATAGCAGGGCTTTTAGGTGCACACGATGCAGACAGAGTCGGGATAGAAGCAGTCTCAGGGGAGCTTGGCACTCACCACACTGGATTCTGAATCACTGCTGCTGGGGCCAGGCGGGCAGCCACGGACCCTCTCCTAGGGCAGCAGCAGTGACCCCGACAGGGAGGTGGGCTGAAGCCCCTAATGCCGGCCAAGGAAGGTGGGTTGGACCCCTCATCTCCCCAGAAAACCCGGGCACGTGCACAACTGACCACCTGTGCTGTGGCCAGGACCGCCCTCACCCTGCAGCCTCCACGGCTGCTGTGTGCCAGCACAGGACGCCATGGCGTCAGCCTGAGGCCACCACTCAGCCTGGCAAGGGGTGGCTGACGCTGCTCTGTGGCTCCCTGTGTTCCTGCTGAGGCCAGGCCTTGCAGCAGGCTAAAGAAGGGACCCTGAGGGTATGCAGCTCTACACCGAGGGCTCTGAGCACCATCACTAGGGCACACGAGCACAAGGCAGGGGACCCTAGACCACGTCAGCCATCTTTCCTGCCTTGGGCTCTAGAGCTGACTTCAGTCCTGGAGGCACCAAGGTCTTGTGCTGGGATGCTCCAGGCTCCCATGCACTGTGCCAGTCCTACTGCCCAGATGGAGACCCGCGAGGACAGCGGTGCTGGGGAAGACACGGCCTGGGTGTGTGGCTCTGGCAGGTCCACACTGCTCTGCCCGCCCTGCAGGGACGACATGGCCCGGTCCATACCGCTCTGCCCTGTCCTGATCTCAGGCTTTCCTGAGCCAGGCTTGTGCTGTCGTTTCCTGCAGCACAAAACATTTAAACAGAGCATTTGCCCTGTGGGCCCTGGCGCGGGTGGTCCTGATCCTGCCTGGGCAGCTGGAAGCTGGGCCCTGTTGGCCGAGTCAGAGGTGAATGCCGAGGCGTCTACAGGACGGGGACCCCGGGCTGGTGTGGCTGGTGCTCCGTGGGCACATGGCGCAGGCCCTCCTGAGGTCCTGCTCTTCCTCTGTGGCCTTCGCCACTGTCACTGCCCACACTGTTCCAGGGAGGCCAGTTTTAATGACCTTAATGAGGTTCTTGTCACACAACCTTTCTTTGGTCTGGTAACACAGTGTCTGCCATGGTTTTGGTTTAGAATTTAGAGCCAACCCATTCTTTCAACACAAACCACAGACACTGAGTAGACACTGTGTCACTCCTAGGACACTTCAGGGGGCACTTGGAACCACGTGCAGGCAGTGGGCTTTAGTCCCTGCTTCGAAGCAGTGATGAGCTACACAACTCCTAATGCCCCTACAGGTGTCCTGGAGAACCATCATTAAGTGAAGTGCCTAACAAGAGTCCCTGGTGACTACGCTTGCTCCCTGGGTGGCATCACTCAGGGTCATCAAAAGCTGCTCTCAGGCTGTGGGGCGGCTGGGCCTGCAGTCCCCAGGCACACACGGCATAGCCCGGGCCCTGCACCAGGCTGCACTTGCAGACCTGCTACAGCTCAGGCAGTGCAGGAGGCGACAGAGGTGAGCGAGAGGTGGGTGCTCAGGGCGTCTCGGCACCATGTGGGCCCGGTAGGGAATGTCACCACGCCTCATGGGGACAGGACTTCTGCATGTGACATGACTGAAGATGCTCCCTGCTGTACTGGGGACGCGTCGCCCATCTGTGGCCTTCACACTGGAGGGTTCAACTGGTGCACCAAGTAAAGGGAGGTGACTCACGACCTACGAATTGCTCCAGGACCAACTTGAGGGTCTAAGGCGGTGAGGCCCAGACAGTCACAGGGGACTCTCTCAAGCTGCCTCTAAGGAGGGTCCGGCTACAGGGTCACGTTGGCCTTTCCCAGGTGAGTGAGGGTGGGGCAGAGGTGAGCAGTTCCCCAGGGCAGCAGAGTAGGAACCACCTGCTCAAAGGCGGCGGGAGAAGGGGTGAGTCCCACAGGTGTCCAGAGCTGACTCACAGTGCACACTGGGTGCAGCCCCGAGGGCAGGGAGGTAGCAAGGACAAGGTTCCTGTTGTGCCAAGAGCTCCTGACTCCAGAGTGCACCTTCTGCAGGGCCCTTGGCAGAGGTGCAGGGCCGAAGCCGAGGGTGAGGGGCTTCCCTGCGGTGGCTGCGGTGCTGGAAGCGGCCCTGTGCGGCAGCTCTCCGTGGTCTCCCTGCGCCCTGCCCTGTTGTCAGTCCACTCACTTCTGCAGACTGAAGATGGAAGCCAGGTGGTGGCCAGACTGGGGGGCAGGGCCACTCTGCCACCCACCGAGCTAGTCATTAGGCACTGCCACGGGGCTGGGGCACCACAGCCCCAGGTACCCGGGCAGCATCTCAGAGACCCACGGCTGGCCAAGAACACCGACTCACCAAGCAAAGCCCAGGGCCAACACGGGGTCTGAATGGCCGACAAAGGGCCAGATGACAGGGCCACCACCATGCTTCGATGGGAGCAGAGCAGTTCCGGAGGAACTAGCCACCCTGGTGTCTCTGCTGCCATTCTGCCTTCCACGTGCCCACCCATGCCAAGCTGACCCACCAGTGCTGCCCGCCCATCTAAGCGTCTCCTCTCACAGGGCTTCCAAACCTGAGGCAGAAGCACACGTGTTCACATCCCAGGACTGGCCTGACCGGCAGTGCTGCTCTCTCCAGGATTCGGAGGGAGCAGATGCCACGGGCACTGGATGGCACTGACACCTGGGAGACTTCCCTCGTGCCTCACCTATGTCCTCTCTGAGGGTAGGGAGCCGGTGCCTCTGTGATTGCGCTGCCCCATGAGGCGTGACTCCCGAGTGCGGGCCAGCCCTGGCCGTGCAACTCCTCGGAGCGTGGGTAGAGGGCGGAGACAGTGGGAACCGGCAGGACCCTGCCAGCCTGCAGCCAGTGAGGGCGAGCAGGCCGCAAGGCACAGCCGGACTGTGGGCGGCCGGAAACGCTCTTGCCCCTGCAGCCTGCGGCGCTCAGGCCCCTCCACACGCTCTTGGGCTGTGGTCTCAGGCCCGGCCACAGCAGCGGGCGTCTGCTCTGAGGCCTTTCGCCTCCTCTGCGGCTCTGCTCCCCAGGCCCGCCCTCCCGTCTCCCACGGCGGCCTTGGGCCGCTGGCACCTTTACCTCCAGGTGCGCGCCTCCCTCCACAGGACCCCACTTCTCAGCAGCCACTTCCACACATGCACTCCAGACCGCGAGGGAGAGGGGAGCCGGCGGGGTGGGGACGTCGCACGCTGGCAGTGGCCCAGGTGGCCCTCCCCTCCCCGCTCTGTGGGGCTCTGCCAGCCCGTCCCTGCCGCTTCCTCAGGCTCTCCTCGCACACCGAGCATATTCTGTCCTAACCTCGAGAGCTTGCGGTGCCGGCCTCCGCGGACAGTGCGCTGTCTCCTGAAATCTGCTGAGCAGCGGTGCCCCAGTCGAGCGTTCAGCCCACCCTGCTCTCCACCCTCCTCCATGCCAGCGTGCCCCAGCCAGCCGGGGCCCGCCACCTCCAGCCTGTGTCAGCAGCCCCTCGCAGGGTGGCGGAGTTGTCCCGACTACACGAGGCAGCCCCTCCTCGCCGTCCCGCTCGCCCTCCCTGAGCAGGCCCTGCCCCTCTCCTGGATGCATCCCCTGGATGTCCGGGACCGAGTCCTCCACCCAGCTGCCAGGACACAGACCCTTCTGCCACTCCCCAGCCAGAGACTGCGCCAAAGCCCTGCTACTGGTGTGAAGGCCAGAGAGGTGCTTTGTCTCCAGGTTGTTCCACAGGGAGCAAGCAGCCTTTTCCTGTAATGCCCCTGGGCCAAACTCGTTCCTCCAAGACTCAGCCAGGGCCCCCAGCAGGCAGGGCCCTTGGGGACCCGCACCAACCCGCTGCCTGCAGCTCCACGGCACCCCTGCACTCCGTCTCTCGCACGTATCTCCAGGCTGGGCCGAGCAGATCAGCCAGGGATGGCAAGTCACGAGGGTCCTCAACTCCCAAGCGCTCTTCTAGAGCCACTGCTGTGCCCTCAGGCCCACATCTGCACGGAAGCAGACCTGGAAGCCTTCAGAGAAGGCAGTGGGATGGGGAGGCGGGCCCTCTTCACACAGCCGGTGCCCATCCCGGGGACACGTGGCCCCACAGCAGGCAGTGCTGTGCCACGACTGCAGGTGGCCACTGGCCAATGCCGCGGTAGCAGCAGCTCGCTGGCGAAGAGGAAGAGACGGAGGCTCAAGGCCGCAGGCTGAGGCCACTGTCCGCCGGCGTGAGAGTGAAGCGACCCCCGAGCCTCTGACGAGCCTGAGGAGCAGAGGACCTCAGTCTCCTCTGCGCGACGCCTGACAGGGAGCCGCCGGGCCGTGCCCCGGGTGCTGATGAGGGAAGACAGGAGGTCGAGGAAGGGACATCATTTTATGCGCCCAAGCCCGAGCGCTCTGCCTGCCCTCGGCGGACTTCAAAGCCGCGTCTGGCACTGGGACTGGTTTGAATTAAGGGCCTGTTCCCCTCACATCGCCTGAGGAGCCTGAGGAGAAAGTGCTGGCCCCTTCTGGATCTCATTAGAGGCCATTTTCTTATCTTTTCTTCACCCAAGGATTGATCCCCTGGAAATGCAAGTTGGCAGGCCAGGGGTCTGCATAACCAGGTGCTGCCTTTGAGGCTCACACTGTCTCCGGGGGCCCCAAAGGGGGAGACCAGTCTCTGACCCTTCTTCCCCCATCTGACGCCCAGGGAGCCATACATCGTAAACTTCAAAGCGTTATTTTACATTAAAGTCAATAAAAAGCGTCAAACAATTTTCCTTCTCCACGCAGCTATTGACTTTAAAGTGCTCTCTCAGTAAGGCGCGGCCGTGCACCCTTAGCAGGACATTCAGACAGATGCTGGCTCAGAGGCTGCCACCTGGGCCCGGCCAGCAAGGCTGGAGGGAGGACCGCACCTGGGCTGGGCTGGGCACCCGGTGTCAGGCCTCACCCAGGACCAGAGCCTCGGGAGGAGAAAGGGCACCGAGTGTCCCATCACCAGGAAAGCACCCTCCTCTCTGCAGCAGGCTCGGTCAGGGACCAGGGCCCTCGGCCTGCTCTGGGCCTTGATCAAAAGGGACCCATGTTCCCACAAGTGGTGGGGACCCCACCCGCCTATCCAGCGGGACCCAGGAGCAGGATCCTACTTCCCGATGAGCCCGCAGACACTGAGCAGTGTGTGATATGTCCAGGGTCTTGAAAGAGCACGTGCCAGTCTGTGTCCCAACTTCACAGATGTGTCCTTGTGCGGTCTCACCCGCCAGAGACACGCACGCACAGGCAGAGAGACATGCGCACGCATGTACACCGCTGGAGATGGGCGCACACACTCACAGACATGTGCACAGTGCAGAGATGGGCCCGGGAACCTCACCCGCAGGGACAGAGACACGTGTGCACACACATGCTTTCCATGTGCATGGGTCAGGCCCACGGAGCCTGGCGGGCTCGAGCACCCAGCCGGCCGCCAGAACCTTCCCGCTGAGCACGCGGGCCGAAGCTGCCATTTCACAGATGGCAGTGAGCCCGGAGCTCTGCGCCCACGCCCGTCCTGCTGGCTGAGGAACCACTGTGGCTTAGGGAGCATGGCCCTGCAGTTACAGGGAGGTGGCTTCACAAGGCACAAGCATTGCTTCTCCATTTTTATGTAAATAAAGGAGAAAAAATGGTATCTCTTTTTTTTTTTTGGTACCGGGGATCACTCGGGACCTTGCGCTTGTGCAGCAGGCGGGGCACCACGGAGCTACATCCCCGGCCCAGTGATGACATCTTTAAGTGCACTCCTGGAATCCTCGGGCGCTGAGCTCCAGGAAGCACGCGAGAAGGGGAGCGGGGCAGCAGGCAGGCTGACAGCATCGGGTCTGCGCAGAGGCCAGGTCTCAGGGCGGGGTCTCTGCGGTCTCCTGTAGGCCGGGACCACCGGGGACTCACCTGAAGGCCGCCAAGTACTCCGTGTCTCCCATGGGGGGGTCCAGGCCTCCCGTGAAGGCCATGTTGACATTGAAGCCCACGCCTGGCCCTGTGCCCACCTGTGGGGAGAGGGAGAAAGCTCATGATGGGAACAGCGGACACAGGTGCTGCCCGGACACGTTCTGGGCTCCCCGCCTGTGGTCACCACAGGGCTCGGCTTGCTGATGGCAGCAACAGAGCAGTTTCCACGGGATGCTCAGGCTCTTGAGGGAACCCGGGCTGTGTCCTTGGCCACAAGACTGCTCCCAGGCCTTCTCAGGTCTCAGGGACGTCCCTGAGGACTGCACTCTGCCACAGCCGTGTACTCACAGGGCCACAAGATGCTGCCTCTGGGTAGAGGACAGTGTGACCGCTGTCAAGCCCGTGCTCCCTTGCAGTGAGACGTGGGAGGCCTTCAGAGGGAGGGTGGGCACTGCCCCCTCTGGCCTCACTCCGCTCCGGGCAGGAGGGAGGACTGGGAGGAGGGTGGCCTGCCCAAGACTGCACCCTAAGCACCAGCCCCGAGCCGTCTCAGTCTTCCTGCAGGAGGGGGGCCAGGCATGGTCGGCACGCCTCAGCTCACGACCAGCCCGAGGCACACTCCAGATACACGCGGGCCCTGGCGCACCACGAGGCGGTCCAGGCCTGCAAGGACCACCCGTGCTATGTGAGCCTGGAGCCCTGCTTCCACTGCGGGTGGTGTGGTGCCGTCTGTCCTCCCGTGCTCGGCCACCCTCGGGTCCCCACACCCACTCACCTCGTCAGGTGCACCGCTGCCTGGAAAGAAGTTCCCATCATCATAGCGGTGCAGGGACACGTACAGAACACTGGGGTCACTGTAGAAAGCCTGCTGGGTCCCGTTCCCATGGTGCACGTCCTGAGAGAGCAGAGAGGGGCTCAGCGCAGGCCCTCCCGGCCCAGCCACGCTGTGTCACGGCGCCTGCGCACAGGCTCCCCAGTGCCCGGGGGCGGGCAGGGACACTGAGGCCGAGTCTGAGTCGGCCAAGCCTCTTCTCAGCCTCGCAGCACAGTTCTGACCCGGCAAGAGGTCCAGACAGAGCCCCGGGCCAGCGTTGTCTCTGTGACGCAGGAGACGTTTCCTTAGCCTGCACCAGGAGGCAGACTGGGCTCTAGGGCCCTACACTGGAGCTACCAGCTACTTCATGACCACAGGGCCCTTGTGACACAGGTACCAGGGAGCAGCAGAGACAGGCAGCGGGGCCTCTGCCAGCCCGCAGCTGTCCCTGGCCTAGCCCATGCAGGAGGTGGTCCCAGCACGGGAGAGGCCGTTTGTGCCAGAGCTGTGTGCGCGTGGAAAGCTGCACAGAGCCAATGGTTCTGCTTCGTGCCATCTTCCCTGGAAAGCACAGAAATGAAGGGCAGCACATGAGGAGCAGGGCCGTGGGCCAGCTTGCAAGGACTCCAGGCTCTGCGAGGAGCCTGCCTGCAACACCGTGTTCTTTACAGGAGGCTGCCACCGCCATGGCCCATGCGCATGTTGGACAGAGCTGTGCCTGGGATGTGGCCACGCTGCCATCCACGGCGGCCTGCCCCCTCCTCACTGTGCCGTGTCCCCAGGGGACTCTCAGGTGCCTGCTCCCGGCCTCTGCTGCCTCCTTCAGGCACCGTGCCCACCCGGTGCCCACAGCCCCAGCACCGCCATGGGAGCTGGCTGCTCTCCTGGCTGCTCTCTTCCTCAGTTGAGAAGGGCTTTTGTAATGTAAGTCATTACCCCACCCGATGTGCCTTTTCTTTATGTTTCTGTTAAAATGAAATGGCATACATCCCAAGGAAAACGCTCTGTATGTACAGGAGTGGTTTTAAGAAGGACCGTGAAACGAGCACCCTGCTGCTCATCTCTAGTTTAGGAACCAGTCTGCTGCCCTTGGAATCCAGGGTCGGCAATACACAGCGCTGCCCAAGTGGAGGTGGCCCTTCCTGGGCGAGCGGGTTGTGAAGAGGGGCCACCTCCCACGGAACTGTGCCAGTCTCAGTCAGAAGTCAGGGCCCTCCACGGAGGCCAAGGCTGGGCGCGAGCTCTGGAATGCCAGCCTTCCTTGGCTGGGCTGAGCTGGCCCTGGCCGCTGCCCCCCATCACGCTTATGCCAGGCAGGTCGGGAGCAACTCCCCACAGGCCAGGCCTCACCTTGCTGGTCTCTGAGCCCAAGTGTTTACGGAGACAAAGCCCATGGCCCACACCCGCAGCCAGGGAAAGACAGGGCGTGCATCCACCCGCCTGCCCGGGAGACGGGGCCACTCACCCAGTCCACAATGAGGATCCTGCTCACGCTCAGCCGCTGCTGGAGGAGCCTGGCAGCAACCGCCACCGAGTTGAAGTAGCAAAAGCCCCTGCGGAGGAGGCAGACAGAGGTGCCCGTCATTGCTACCTCACAACTTGCAGAGGGCTGCCTGCAGGTGCTGGGGTCCGGGGGCGCTCTGGGGTCCCTCCCTCGGCAGCCGGAGACCTCCGCTGACACTGGTGACCGACCGATCGGCAGACACAGCCATGCGTGATCACACACAGGCACACGTGCCGTAAATACATGCCTGTGTCAGACAGGGGCACAGTCACACATCAGCTACACACTCACACACACACAGTCTACACACATGTCTACACACATCAGCTACACACACAAGAAACAAGCACACATCAGACACATACCACATACATGTATATATACCACATCAGCTACATGCCACAGACACACAAAACATGCACATACCAGACATACCACACACATGTATACACACATCAGCTACACACTCAACACACACACATGCAACACACACATCACACACATGTATACACACACGTAAACACACATCAGCTACACACACAAAACAAGCACACATCAGACACATACCACACACATATACATACCACATCAGCTACATGCCACACACACACAAAACATGCACACATCACAGACATACCACACACATCTATAAACACATCAGCTACACACTCACCACACACAAATGAAACGTGCACACATCACAGACATACCACACACACGTATACACACATCAGCTACACACACATGAAACACGCACACATCACAGACATACCACACACACGTATACACACATCAGCTACACACACATGAAACACGCACACATCACAGACACACACCACACACATATGTACACACACCACAGACATACACACACCACAAAGGCACAGGTGCACACAGGCACACACACATGGGCATGTGTATGTGCACAGGAACACACATCTGCCACACAGGTACATACAGGTACATGGACAGCACACACCACAAAGATATTCACATGCACACACTGGACACACAGACCCAGACACACACAAGATATACTACGGACGATACCTGCACACACACCAGATAGACACATATGCACACAGAGACAGACCACATGTACACGGATACCCATACACACAACATATACATATACATCATGAAGACACACACTACACAAATACACAACACACATGCAGGGATGCAGATATCACACACACACACACAGACACACGCAGACACACGCACACACTACACACCACACAGACCCAGGCTCCTGCTTGGAGATTTCTCACGCTGACGGGGAGGAAGTCTACTTTAGCATATTTGGGGCACCACTCTCCTCACTGGTCCTTGGAGGCCTTCATGAAACCCTGCAGACCTCATGAGGGATGCTACACCCACGACGTGTAGCAGTCACCTATTTGAGGTGCTTACATTTACCTTTCCACATTCTAGGAGCTGTATGCATGTTATGCTCATCACTCTAGTGATTAGCTTTGGTGTACAGAATCTTACTCAAAAGACCATGAAAACAGGCTGAGAAAGTGACTCATGTAGAAGCAACAGTCTCCTTATTCCCAATCTTCCTGTCTGCCCCACAGAGATGTGCTGGCTGACGTGGCTCAGACCCAGGCTGGTGCTCTGAAAGCCTGCATGCCCTCTTGTGACGCAGGTCGCTGTCTGGACTCAAACTGACTGCAACAGAATCTCAGTGAAGGTGCCCATTTGAGTCCCATTCGGACTTATTATTCAGAAGTCCAAGGACCTGGGTTCACATTAGAAAGGGAACCTCAGAGGGAGGAACATGCAGAAAGCTTGCAGCGTCGGGAACACCGCATTCTGCAGTGGGGGTAAGCCGTGGGTTCCCAGGCAAAGCCACAAAGGCTCCCAGCCCAAGTCCTCTCCTGGTGTTGCGGTCCCCTTCTGCACATGGAGGAGTCCTGTCTGAAACGGGCCTGGCCTGGACTCCCTGATGAGCCCACCCGAGGCCCATCTTGCTCTCGCTGCTTCCAGGCCATGGTGCGCTTCCTGGCTTCGCTGACATAGTGGCTCCTTGATTGCCACCTGACAAGCTGCTGGGCACCCCTGTAGGCACAGCCCATCTGCAAGGCCGAGCGCCCAGCCTCCTTCACACTGATGCTGCTGGAGTGGTCGCAGAGGTTCTGAGGACAGTGGCTTTTCCCTGGGGTACTGAGTGCACCCTGCGGATCAGAGTTGCGCTGACTTTGGCAGGGGCTACAGCTGCCTCTCCTTCTCGCCTACAGAGCCACACACCACTCAGACCTCAGACGTGCGGGTGGCAGGTGCCCAGGAGACCAGACTGCCCATAGACGCCTCCTTCGTGCCCAGCAGGCGGCAGCTCAGCTGCAAGGGCATGTGAGGTGACTCGGCCTGGCCCTGGCTGCTCTAAATCATGGGTGCCACATTCGCTTGCTCTGATAGAGATGAGATCTTCTCCCAAGTTTGCCAACACACTCCACTGCCACAGGCTGCTGCGGACCCACTTCAGAGGCTCCTCCTCCAGTTTCCATCACCTCCCCCGTTCTTCATGCTCCCAGGGAGGTGACACCTGCAGTGCCGTGCCCCTCCATGGTCTGCTCTCGAGCCTCGGGAAAGGGAGACACGGAACAAAGGGCCACACTGCAGGCAGAGTCCACTCACATGGGCGTGCTCTCCTCCGCGTGGTGTCCTGGGGGCCGGACCACAGCAAAGCCATTCTGTGGGTGACACAGTGAGGAAAGATGTGGCTTAATCCATAAGGTCGTTACAAGCAACCTTCCACTGACCCCGGACCTGGGGAGGACGTGGCCTCGCACACCTCCTGGCCACACTGCCACGGGTGGTGTGCAACACTGGCTATGGGCCTTCAGAGTTCTCTGTCCACTCTTTTTCACTTCCTTTTTTTTTTTTGGTACCGGGGATCGAACTGGGGTCCATGTGCTTACCAGGCAGGCGACGGAACCAGAGCTGGCTCCCCGGCCCTGTCTGTCCACTCTTAAGGGGGCCTGCTGCTTCCCAGGGCCTCTTGGGACACTGGGTGCTAAGGTAACAGGGGAGCCTTCCCCAGCTTCCCTCTGCCAGGGGGGCCCATGCAGCATGTTGGGGCTGGGGTACTCTCGGTGCCCATGGTTCCTGACCAGCTACCAGCCGGTGGAGACCCAGGTGCAGGTGAGAGGGAAGGGGCCGTGTTCGAGCAGGCTGCCCGGCTGGGCCTTAGCAGGCATGCCTGACCTTACTGCAGGCAGAGCGGTCCTGGGATGAGGGCACCACACAAAGCATGCGGCTGTAACTCACTCCGTAAACACTTTGGTGTAGGCAGTTTCACTGCTGTGGTCCCCGCCCTGTCACACCTGAAACTGTCACCTGCAAACTGCTCTAGATATGTCTTAAAACAGCTCAAACAGCTACCCCTTGTCTCATTTGCAGCAGAAAGTCATGTGGTCGTCTCCGTATAGGGCCTCCAAGGGCAGCTCATGGCTGTGCTGGGAGTGGTGACCTGGCCCAGGATGGAACAAGGGCAGTGGAGAGGCCGAGAGGCAAGCTCAGGTGGTGAGCACTCAGTATTGCAAAACCCACTGTCGTTTCTGATCCTGCCCCCTGGGGGGCTCCCAGTTTGTCCCCCCGCCCTGGGGTGTGTCCCCACAATTGACTGCCACTGTTTGGCTTCTGCACTGTTCCAGCGGTGCTGAAGCCCCAGGAGTAGCTGGTGGTGCTGTAGCAGCAGCTGAACAGCAGCACAGAGCAGCACCAGCCCTTGAGGCCTTCACTGCCACGTGTTTGTGAGTGGAATGCGGTTCCCCTAAGGAATGCCCTGATGAGCTGGTAAAAGGTACATAGTTTACGAAGCCTCCACCCTCGCTCATGCGCTCTGACACCCATGCAGCCAGGCGAGGAGTGTGTACAGGACTCCTCTGTGCAGAAGCTCAGGGGCCAGCTGAGCCTGCTCCTCCCTGCAGGGATTCCACACTGCTTGCAAGAAGGAGATGCAAACTGCGGTCTTCCACCTCAGGGAAGCCCAGGCTATGCCCAGAAACAGGGAAACGGGGCCTGTCACATAGAGGGCAACAACAGGCAGCAGCTGCGGGAACTGAATCTGAGGTTTCCAGCTCTCTGAGGATGTCATGTGTGGAACACGTGAGGACCTGGGACTCCACTTTCCAAATGGCCCCGCAGAGTTACAAACCCTCCACGGGTCAAAGGAAGGCAAGTGGGTTTTAGGCTGGCAGAGGTGGTGCCACAGCCCAGGATGGGTGCCTTCTAGACCTTGCCCCCTGCCAAGTGTGCCCCAGAATAAGAAGGACTTCGAAGTTCTCTGTGAAACTGCTTCTCCCTCCAATATCACGCTGTGTGCAGCCAGGATTTCTTCATGGATGGCAGTGTGTGGCAGCAGGTCAATGCCAGATACAAGGCCCGGGAACCCAGCTGCTGGCCACTATGCCAGATACTACTGTCATTTTAAATTCATACCTTTAAAATGTTCCAGCTGTAAAGTGGCCAATTCTGATGAGCTAAGTCACATAAATAAAAGCACCCAGGATCCTCGCAACTGTAAAGAGCACACAGGGCCCCTGGGACCAACCTCTGAGGGTCTCTGAACCACACCTGCTTTCCCCACCGTGGGCAGGGCCCACCCTTTTTCCTGGACAGGAGCCCCCAGCAAGTCCCAAGGCTGGGCCTGACCCAGGGGAAGGGCAGTGGCTGCCCCTCCCCACTAAGGTTGCCAGCCCGGCACCGCCAGCCCCAACTGACCTTCAGCTCCCCCGTGGCCACCTTGAAGACCAGCTCCACCACGCAACCCACGGCCAGACGAGCCGCGCCTGACGAGTGCACCTCGTTCCAGATGGTGTCGCTGTCCACCTGTGGGAACAACACGGCCCGTTACTGTCACCTCTGCGCTGAGGGTCCCGAAGTCTGAGCTCGGCCCTGTGGCCCTGTCCACTCGCCAGGGCAGACCGCCCTGCTGGGCTCCTCTCTCAGGATAGGCCAAAGTGCACTGGATGGAAGAACAGCCCTGAACGCTCAGAAGGAAGGTGCATGCCCACCCTTCTGAGCTGCCCTTTTCTGACTGCTCCCACGGACTCTGGCTAACAGTAAGCAAGTCTAGGTCACTGTTTCCTGCAGTCCAGTTACTCCAGCAACTACCAGAATGAAATATAAGGGTCCAGCAGCTGCCTCCTCAGATTGTGGCTTTCTTCTGTGCTGCATCTGGTTGAGCCTGAGCGCTATCCTGGACAGGGTGCGGGTGGAAAGGTAGGACCATCAGGCTCTGCCCAGATGGCAGTGTGGCTATGTCAGCTGCTTCCACTTCAAAGGGCAAACAATCTGTGAGTCTGCTTCCCAGGCCCTGGCCAATGGGAGAAGAGCTCTCACAGCCAGGCCTGCAGAGGAGGCCCTGGAGGAACCCAGGTGGGGTCAGGGGCTGGGATGCAACAGCCCCGGGCCAACGCTGGCACCTGAGCAGCCGCCCCCAAGTGCGTCCCTTGAGTACAAAGTCCCGTGGGGCCACCTTGGGCCTTTCCCAAGGCACCGGCCTGGGGAGTTCTGCTGGCTATGGCTCGACAACGCTATTTAACTTCAACACAAGGTCTGCAGATACGCCATGACCCTCCTCGACAGGGCTCCGAGAGCAGAGACCGCTGCTGGAAGAGAACCTGTGCCTGCCCTCCTCATCCTCATCCTCATCCCCAGCCCCGCCCGAGGGGCTCCCGCCCATAATGAGGCCAGAGGCCACCTGACAGGCTCATCGCTGCAGCCAGCCCGGACAGTCCTCCTCAGTGCATTCAGAGGGTTACTCTCGTCACTCGTCAGGTCCCGCGTTCTTAGTTTCCAAGGGTCAGAAGGGTGCTTTTAACCTCATATCCCTGCTCTGCAGCACTGACTCCCCACTCCTGCATAACACTACGTGGGTATTTACTGAGGTGACCGGGTGAACAGTACCATGCCGCTGGTTACTTCAGCTGGGGAATGCACTCCCTACACTCGACAGTGATGGGCCACAGAGGCCCCACTGGTGGCCCCATGCCCTGCAGGGGCAGCAGAGTCCCGGCCAGGGCAGACCGAGGCTACACCTACGAGAGCAAAATGACTCAAATCTCCCTACAAAATGCCACGCCCTGCCCTCAGGGCGAGGCAAAGGCTGCAAGGAGTGGACGAGTGGCAGCACTGCCTCTTCTCTTCTCCAGGCTCCACAGGCTGTTTCCGCAGGGCCTGCCAGGAACAGCTGACAGAGCCAGGGCCGACCCATGCCACTGCAGGGTCCTGGCTGCCACCAAACAACCTGACAACATCCCCCTACTGCTGCGGGTCCTGTGACGCTGGTGCCCAGCGCAGGCTGGCTGCAGAGGGGCTGTGCTGTCTGAGGCATGGGTGAGGCAACTGCCGATGCAGGAATGGGATGTGAAGGAAAGAGCAAACAGGAGACAGAAAGAGATGGTGGGAAATGTGGGGGAAGTCTCTGGGAGAATCACAGGGAGGTGTAGTAAAGAGATAATTGAGGGGGGCGAGCTGGGGTGATCTCAGAGCATCTGGAGCTCACAGGAGCCAGGGGCAGCTGGGGGACACCCTGGCCCTGGCTGCATTCATCGGCAGGGCTGGGTCAGGCCAGGGATCACAGAAAAAACCAGGGATACCAACTCCGCGCTAACCTGAAACTTATAATAATGAGGAGGTGAACCAGGCAGAAGTTTCTTTCATTTGGTTTGAAAATAAAGGTCAAAACAATTAAAAACCTGTATTTAGCAGAGCTGAGGAGGGTGTCTTAACTTTGGAAGCACTGCCGCATGACTGAAATGCTAAGGTAAGGCTCCTCCCAGGCAGCGGACCAGCCTGTTAGCTGCTCTCTCATGGGCAGAAGCACCTGTGCCTCACATGGCCCCAACACTGAGGGCAGGCCTGGCACTGTGCAGCGGCCCGGAGTCAGCCCTTCTTCCTGTTGGAGGGTGTGTGGGAAATGGGCAGAAGGGAGCCTGAGGATGCTGCGGCTCACTTTCCCCTGGCCCCTACAGGCTCTATCTGCCCCATACCTGGTGGGCCTCTGCGTCCAGACCCGAGGTGGAGCTCTAGCCACCTCCCATGGTTCGGTTCTGGTTTAATGTGTGTGTGGGGCTTCTTGGGCGCAACCCCCCAGGTCTGAGCTTACATTTAGCTTTCATTTGCAAATTATAAATTCTGCCTTGCACAGGCCTGCTGGCTGCAGGGCAGTGCAAATCCAAATCTTTTTAAGCATGGCCAAAACCTTGCCCTGAATTAAGAGATTGCAGCCTATTTACAATACAAAATAAAATAGCTCTAGGAAGGCTCGGTGGTGGTATGAATAAAAGCAGTTTATTCTCTTTCTGATGGGATAATTTTCAAAGCAGTGATTTCTGTAAAGACTCAGGAAGAAAACAATTGTTTCATTTCCATAACAGAATCCAGACCTCCCGCTTCACCCTGGACCTGTGATTACACACACTGCAGTTCAGCCCTGACAGCTCCTGCAGAGCCCTAGCTCCCACCACCTTGCCCGTCTGACCTCTACAGGTCCTGGGTGCAGGGGACATGGTGGGCAGCAAGCAGTACCTCGGCTCGGCAGGAGGCCTGGCATCCCCTGCAGACTGCAGTCTTTGGTGGTGCCTGGCCCCCGCCTCAAGAGAGGCGTGCGTGTGTGAGGTGGCTGTCAACGGGAGATCTGGCCGTGCAGGCCACATCTGCCTGTGCAGGCGGAGGACTGGGCTGGGAGGGAAGGCCTTTGTGGCCCCTGCTGGTCTCCTACGTGTCTAGCTTAGAACATCATCTGCACATGGGACAGAGGTCGCCACAGCCCAGCTGGCTGCTTTTACGGGTGCCACATGGCCGCAGGTGACAGTCACTGCACTGAGAGCTCGGCCTATAGCTCTGGATTGGAAGTAGACACAGACGATCACATCCTGTCCAAGGATGCTGCTGGAGCAGAGTGCTGCTGCGGGCTGACGGGTGTGTGGTCCTCACACGAGTCCTGCCTCCTAGCCCAAGAGCCAGGGCACGTGTGTGTGCCAGATGATGCTCCCAAGAAAGGTGCTAGAGTCCCGTGATCAAACGCTACCAGCTCGCAGTGCCTTTGAAGCCACACATGGCCTGTCTGCCCAACAGCGGCCGTTTATGGAAAACGGCTGTCAGCAATTACCCGTTGGAAGGAAGGCAGGGCTGGGGCTTCTGTGACCATGGGACACTGAGAGCAAACAGGATGTTATTTTCATACATACGAAAGAGCTACTTACCCCAACACCACCGCAAGGGAGTCTCACAAACACGGAGGTCAGGGAGCCTGTGGGGAGAGCACAGGGTCAGAGGCCGGGGAGCCCCCGGCTCTGGGGGTGCTCCCTCTCAGCCGCACTGTGGCACTGACACCTGCACCAGCACAAAGGACAAGGCCCACATGGGTCTCCCTTGGCTGCTGCAGGCGCAGGGTCGGGCAGTAGGCTCAGCGCTACTTCTCCATGGCATCAGCCCCTCCCTGGAGTGCGGCCCCAGAGGACCCCCGCACCCCACTGTGCCTCCTGCCAGCCTTGCTGCCCAGACGTGGTCCCGGCTCCCCAGGGGCGCTGCCAGCTTCGCTTGGAAAGGGCCCCTCCGAGCCAGCAATCTTCCACACCCTCCCACTCACCCTCCGGTCGCCCACCGCAGCTGCCCTGCCCCGTGTCACCAGGAGCCACGGACACCCAGTGACAAGGGGGTGCCGGAGATGGGGACCGGGGTCCTTTTCTGTGTGCGCCCAGAGCGAGCAGAACACGGGAGACACACCCAAAGGCTGGCCACCACAAAGGAGCAGGCCAGGGTGGCAGTGAGGTGTGAACGTGCTCGAGGCGTCCTTCAGGGACCAGCCTGGGGAGTGCTGCTGGGAGCGCCACAGCCTCTCCTGCCTGTCTGCCGGCAGTGCCAGCCCTGCTCCCATCCCAGGGACCTGTGCCATACGGATGAGGGTGGCACTTCCTGTCGCAGTCTGTGAAGAGCACCTCCATGAGCAGCCGGAGCCGGAGGGGCAGTGGGCACAGGGCTCTGGTGTGGTCTCCCCGCCCTACAGAGGCTGGGGTGCTGCAGGACAGGGGCGTCCACATCTGGAGGCCAGGAGGGCTGCCATGTGGGTGGGGGCCAGAAGGGCTCAGGTCCGTCTGAGACAGGAGCCTGCTGGGACCTGGCCCAGAGCCCTGTGTGGGGCGGCTGCACAGACCAGGCCCGTGTCCCAGCGGCCCTCAGCCTGCAATCCCGCACCCACTGAGGCAGCAACATTGCCGTGGCCTCCCTGCCTGCCTCCTGTGACGTACCAGGGTCCTTGGGTCCCACTCAAGCAGGCTTATCACCCTCCCTGCTCGCCTTCCCTTTTGTCTCCAAGACAGCCCAAAGGCCCGGATGTGGGGCTCCCAGGCCCAGGCCTCACTTCTGCACTCGAACACAGGGTGCAGGACAGCACTGGTACATGAGGCCCCTGGAGGCTGGTGCGTGAGGCTGAGGATGGAGGTGCAGGCCCCGAGTGGCACCGAGCTACCTGCTGCCACGTTCTGCTGGTCACCCGAGGCCTGCTTCATGCCTGGGGATAATGGCCCTGGGAACTACTGGGGCTGGGATGGCTTCGGGAGTGGCCCTGTCCCAGCAGTCTCTGTCCCAGTGCAGGCAGTGTGACTGTGAAGAGCTTCCTCTTTCCAGGTCACCCGCATGTTTGTGCACACAAATACATACACCAGATCGTGGCATCCAGGACTCTGAGGGAGACCAGATTCTCCCTGCAAACATTTCTGGTTTGCTCACTACACAGGTGCAGTCACATGACGAAACAGAAACCTCACACTGGAAGCCGAGTGGCAGCAGGATCTAGGGTCTCGGAGTGCCAGTCACCAGCGGCCTCTGCGCGTCCCTGCTCTGGACGTGCGTGTGCGGCCCTGGAGCCCGAGCCTGTAGCCTGGCTCTGGCTCCTGTGGTTTGGGGTCAGTCAGCCAGCTGGGCTGCAAGTCTCCTGCCTGAGGCATGAGGACCCACCCTCCCTTGTCTGTGTGTCAGGCAGGATGGCCAGCAGGAGTCTGGGGGCAGGTAAGGGTGGGTGGGAAGGCAGTTTTCCTCCTCAGGAGTGGCCCGCCAGAGCACCACCCAGGCCAGGCTCCCCACCTGCAGCACTGCTGTTGGGTGCCACCCTTAGACAAGGTCCAGGATGGGGAACTGCCCGACACTGCTTGCTGTCCTCTCTAGTCGAGCCTGTAGGTGTGGCCTGTCACCAGGTCAGTGACCAGCTGCAGCGGGCCTTTACACATGGCTCAGATACTTGTGGATTTGGTTCAAAGAGGAAGGAAAATCACACAATGGCATTAAAGCATAAACAAGGATATGCTAATGGAGCCTGAGAAGACCACTGCTACTATGTCTGAAGCACTGGGACCGACGATGGCGCTCCTCAGGAAAACCAGCAGAAGCTAGATGTGGCCCCCTCAAGTGCTAAGATGACGGACGAGCATCGCTGTGCAGTTTCAACAGGTTGAAACAAGCTGAGCCGGAAAGAGAAGGATGCAGAATGACCGCTCATCCCAGTGACGTGTGTAGGTACAGGCACAACGGCGCCAGGTGGCAGCACTACACTCGGCCAACAGAAGCAGCGCTAAGCCTGTGAAACCCTGCTATGGGGACAGCAACGGTGTGAGCATTTGGGGAGACATTTCAGTGAAGAACACGGAGCCCAGGAGGGGCTCCAAGGGACCACTGGTGGCCTGGAGCTGAGGAACAGGCTGCCAGGCAACGCACAGTCAGGAGAGCAGCTCCAAGCTCCCACACGAGTTCCTCTCCTGTTCCTATGGCACTCTCATTGGGGTCTCACTTCTGGTTTAGTAACTGGTCTTAAACCTGGTCCAAAACTGGCTTAAGAACCCAGAACATTCTCCCACTGGTGAATTTATACCACCTCTCCTATGACGGGGGGACCACCCCCTGGCCCCATTGAGTCTCGGCGGGCTGGAAGACTGGCATGCAAAGGGCCCTTGGGGATGGACAGGGAGACTCAGCACAGAGAGGCAGGGTTTCTGTACTCTGGCGAGGTGCGAGGCAGTGAGACTGCACAAAGCATTCGGGAGGGCTGACCAGCCACTTCCTGATGGTTGCTGAGGTTGCGTCCTGACAGTACTGGTCACCGTGGGAAAGGTCCTGTCTTGTGCTGAGGCCACAGGAGCCGGGCCCACACTGCAGAGCCTCTCTCCTGGGTCCCCCCCCCCCCGGGTCTCCTGTACTGCCGCCGCTGCCAGGCCCGGCCTCCCACAGACCCTGCACCCCAGGAGCCACTCTCACGGGGCCGGGCTGTGGCAGTCCTGGAGTCAGCTCTGAGCGCATGGCCCTTTCTGGAGGACACCGAGGAGCCTGCACCACAGCCAGCCTGTGTCTGTGCCAGCCCTGCCTGCCTGCCCCTTCGGGTCAATGGTTCCCACTTGGGGTGGCTGTCAGAGCCCCTTGAAGACCCTTATGGTGCTCCCTCCTGTGGTCCTCAAGCTATGACAGCTGGGATGACAGCATCAATCTGCAGAGGAAGGACAAAGCTCGCTATTGTGAGGGGACCCTCTCACACCAGCAGCAGCTGGGTGGGTTCTGGATGCACCTCAGAGAGTGGGCACACACGATGCTGGGGCCTGCTGTGCTGGGAGTAGATCTCCTTGCTCTGGGATAGAGCTGGTGGGTGGAACACTGACAGCTGGGTGGGAAGGCAGAGCAAGAACTGTATGGCCGGGACCAGTGCATGCCCAGAGGAGCCTGGGACAGTGCAGCCCACATAGTGGTCCAGAGGCATGTGGTACGGCACATGGGGACCCTCCTTGGGTGCCCTTGGGCCCACCTCCTTCCCAAAGCAGCTTCCCCTTGGTCCCTTTCCCTTTGGCAAGCTTATCCTCCACAGGCTTCCTGACAGAGAAGCTCCTCAGGTTTGATTCCCAAGAGCCCAGAGAGGCCTCCACTGGGCCTTCCTGCTCGAGGGGCTGGGTGAAGACCTTGGAAGGGAAGGGATGGGATGTCCTTCCATGCCGCCTTTCACTCTGCTGAGTGCAGAGGTTCCTTCTGGAACCTTGCCACCCTCCTCCTGGTCCCTCCATCCTGGAGTCCTGGGACCGCCTGGTCAATTGCTCTGCAGCCACTCCCACCTCCTCTGCACCCACAGGGCTGTGGGACTTCTCCTTCCACTGGCGCTTTCCAGTTTCCAGCTGCAGTTTTCTCCACTTCCTTCCTGGGAGATGGTTGCTGCTTAGCCTCAGCCCAAGGACTTTCCACCTCTGTCACGTGCCTTTGGTTTTCACCTTCTCTGAATGTTCCACAGCTCTCCTTTGCTTTGCATGCTATGAGGATGTAGTTTCTTTTCTCTAAGGATACTAAGGATGGCTTTGGCCCCTGAGTCCCCTCCTTACCCCACCTGCGTGGCCTCAGTCTGCAGCTGCTCTCAGATGCCTGCTAGTGACGGCATAAGGAGCCCACTGCTGGCAGGCATGGGTGGGCAGGGGCTCAGTAACTGTGAGCCCTGACATCAGGGGACTTGGGCCAGTTGTCAGCACCCGTTGCTGGCTGATCCCTGCAGAGGGGCCTCCTGCTTTCTGCCTAGAGGTAAAGATGGGTGTGCTGGGAGCCTAGTGGGGAAAGAGGTTGGATGTCCAGCCCAGGGAGTCCTGCTGCGCCCATTCTGGAGAAGCAGCAGCTGCCTAGGACAGTGGAGCCAGGGTCCTGGCATAGGGACAAGGCCTCTCCATCCGCCCTGGCCCCATCCCCAACTTGAGCTTCTCTCTGGCTCTTCCATCTGTAGCCCTGGGTCTCTGCAGTCACTGCCCCTGAGCCGGTGGGGTCAGTGGATCCACTTTCTTGCCTACTCAGGCTGAGCCATGTCCACCAGCTTCTCAGCCTCCAAAGCCTGCTGCCATTAACTCCCTTCCTGTTTCCCCAAATGTCTGTTTGCAGGCAGTGGAACCCAGAGAGCAGCATGACACCTGAGGCAGGCACCCACCAGTGATCTCACAGCCCCCCAGGCAAGATCAGCTCCTGCAGGGCCTGCTACAAAGGATGCCCTCGAGGTGCAGGAGAGAGTGAGCAGGCAAAGGAATGGGTGAATGAATTGTGGCCAAGTACGAAGAGGAGAAGGGGTGAAGCAGCACGGAAGGGAAGAATGAGTGTGAGGAAGGGGAGCAATGAAGGAGCCAATGAGGGTAAGAGGAGGGGGAGTGAGGGCACTGCAACCCCAGGCTGCCTGCCTGACACAAGCCCGGCACACAGCAAACCTTCCACAACCCTGCATGCTACACGAAGGACCAGCTGCGACCCATAGCTCCTGCCCAGGGAAGTGCCCATGGGGCTTCTTTCCTAGGGGAAAGGACAGAAACAATGATCAGTGACCATCCTGCTTCAAGGAGGCTGGAAGGTGGAGAAGAAATTACTCAGCCAAGAAGGGCACCTGCAGAGGTCCGCCCTGCATCTGTGTTGAGGGGGCCTTGGAGCTGTCCCTGCGTCTCTGCCCGGGAGTGCACAGACCCCCAGCCCCTAGTCTACACCAGGGAGCCCATAGAGCCCTGTGGCGTTTGTCAAGCTCCACCTGCCCCTGCTGAAGACCCTGGGACAAGGCCGGGAAGCGCCTGCTATGTGCTTCTCCAGAGGCCAAGGTCTCTCCTGCACCCATGTGCACGGGCTGCCTGCCAGGCCCAAGAAACCAGCAGCCCTCTTGCCCTGCAGCTGACGTTCAGGTGCTCGGGAGAGGCAGACAGGCCGAGTCCTCTAGGCTTCCTCTCAGCCTTGCCCCAGGGAGCCGGAGAGTGGCATTCGGAGCAGGGCCCTCCCTGACAAGCTCCTGGCACCCAGACTCCGCTGACCAAGAGCTCTGAATCAGTGGTCCTCAGCCCGTCCTGCACCCACGCCTGCACAAGGCGCTCCGTAGGGACCAGCTGAGGATGGACAGCAGATCTCTCTGTAGCCCCGGGATACTCGTGCCGCCCTGGCCGCCAGGGCCATGGGCTGGAAACGTGGTGGGTCAGATCAAACCCAGCAGGGACGTAAGGAAGGCTCTGAGATACCTAGAAGTTTCTTACTGTCCAGCTTCTGCCTGTTGAGGGGGTTTGTGCCATACAGCAGCGTGTGGGCCTCCGAGTGCACCGTCTGCAGCTCCTCCAGCGTGGCCTTCCGTCCTCGGACGCACTGTGGGGACAGAGTGGAGAGCAGCTTGCATCTCCATGTCAGCTGCCATCTCAGCTCCACAGAGTGCAGTCGCCGAGGGGACTCAGCCCCATGCAGGCATATGCAGTTACTGGGCTAGCAAAATGCACAGCAAATATTGCTTGACACAGTATTTAAAAATATTTTAAAAATGTTTTGAGGGCTTGCATTTTAAATGTAGCTTTGAAAATCATGTAAGAAAATAATCAAAGCCCTCAATGCACCACTGTTCACTGTCACACAGCGATCTGGCAACTGATTATTGCAGTGGCCCTAAAGTAGCAGAGAGATGCCAAAGGCAGTGTGGGCGGTCCTCAGCCCCCGGGTCCAGGTCCTGGGGAGTCCGGGCCTACTCCTCCCCTGGTACACTGTGCACTTGCATGCAGGGAGCCTCCTCAGCGCATAGGCTGGCATGCTGGGAGGTCGCCATGCCTGACTTTGAGCTGGAGGACCACGTCTCCCTGCAGTTTGTAAACTCCTTAAATAAAGATGGGCTACTTTCAGGTTGCCCAGAAATTAACAGAAAAACTACTACTGTTCAGTTGAGCTATTCACATAACTGTTGAGAAGGGAAGCGGTCTGGAGATGAGATCAAGGCCAGCATCTTACACGGCCAGCTCCTGCGGGCCTGGCGGACTCAGGGCCGTGATGCTGGCCGTTGCCCAGGTTCCAGCCTTGTCTTGAGCGCTTGTGTGGCCCACTGCTCACTGACCTGTAGGTCTGTGTCTGTGCCTGTGCATGAGCCTCGAAGCTGGGGCTGTACTGTGCTGCGGCTTTTAGGGGGCTGCTCTCGCCATAAGCAGCCCTGCACAGGGGGCTTCCCTGCAAACACTGTGCCCTGGTCTTGCCTGTGCAGGGCAGAGAGGGGGCGGGTGACCAGCAGAGCTCAGCTCACCCGAGGGCGGGACCCTGGCTGCAGTGGCCCTGGCTGGGGAGATCATGCTGCTGGGTGGGTCTCTGTGTCTTTGACCCTGTCCAGGCAGGGTCTGGGTGTGCCATGCTCGGAGTGGCTGGTAGGCGCACAGGAGTCACGGTACACGGGGTCAAGAAGAACAGGGAATGTGCATAGCAGGAAAGGTGGGCAAAGGCAGCGGCCAACTGCCCCACCTGCTCAGAGGCTGGGCCCCTGCGTACGAGTTGAACTGCAGTGAAAGATCCTAAGGGAGACCAGAGGCGGAGCTCCTAAACTAAAGTGAATGCTAGCATGAGCTACAGAGGAAGAATAATACCTGTCCTCTCAAATACTCGAGATGGACAAAACAGGAAGCGCTGAGACCTCCCACTGGCCCATGTGCCACCCTGGGTATCAGCACCAGAGGGAGGTGCAAACGGCCCCACCCCAGGGCCAGGCTCCACTCTCACTACTGTCCCGGGTGGTTGGGGGCTGGGAGAAGCTCGGGCATGGCCATCCGGCTATTAGGCAACCAGCCTGGGCAGCTCTGCTCTACCACCTCGGGAGCAAGGGCCCAGCTGGCAGCCTGGTGGTGACACGAGCTCCCCTGGGCTGGGCTCGCACAGAACCCCCCGCCCAGGAGGGCAGCACATCTGGGCCGGAGCCTGTCCTGGCATTTGCGGCACTACTGCTGATTCTGAGCCTGAGCTTGCTCCTCTGCAAGCCCTCCTCTCCCCAGGGTCCTGCGGCCCTGCTCAGTGCCTGGGCCCTTCACCCAGTGGCCTTGTGTCTGTCTCTCCCCACTCTGGCCTGGCTCCTGTTGGCTTTTCTGGCTGAGAAATGGCTCCAAAATGCCCCTGGCTTGAGTGGGTCCTCCCAGGAAGGGAGAAACTGAACAGGGCAGACAAGAGGATGGGTGTCAGGGAACCTCAAGAACTCCTTGATGCCCAGGGAGGGCTCCGGAAGGGGAGGAGCTGGCCATGAGGAGGATTTTCCTCTCAGCTTTGTCCGCTAGGTGATGCTGCCCCCCAGTGGCACAGCCGTCCTGGCCTTAGCCCAACATTACTGGTCACAGGGTCACCCTCCTCCGGGACAGCACTTCAGGAGAGAGGTGCGGGCTGGGCGCTGGACCCTGGTACCCCGAAAACGGGGTATCACCACTAGAGGTGGTAGAGGAAGCTGGGCCAACACCTGAATACCCGAGCTGGTGAAAGAGTAAGGAGGAGGGAGAACAACAGGGAGTCGGGATAAGGAAGCCCGTGGTGAGGTGCTCTGCACTCCACAGCAGTGTGGGCTGCACAGTCCTGGCCAGGTGGCAGCCAGCTACTCTGGGGCATATTTGGACAGCGTTCTCTAGTTGGTAGGAGCCCTAGTATGTGTGTGTAGGGTGTGGGGCCTCTTCTCCTGGGCACTCCAGGGCAACCCCCACAGTGGGCCACAACGCTGTCTGGGCCACCAGCTACCTGCCACGGGCCCTGCCTGCACACCTGGGCTCCAGCAGGGCCGAAGGAGGCAGGGACCTCCACCCTAGCTTCTGGCCATGTCCTCTTGCTCTGGGGGCCCAGCCTTCCTGTCCAAGGGCCAGCCTAGCCATCACCACTGCCAGGCACAGGGAACATGGGGACTGGACAGAAATACAGCACCACTGAGACCCTCGTGTGACTCCCACGGGCAGAGGGACCAGGCTGCCCCTGCATTAGGCACTGCCTTGGGGAAGTGGCATCTGCTGGGGAACCGAGCCCAATGGTCTCCTGCAGCCTCTGTGAGGTAAGAGCACATATTTCAGTGAGAAGCCAGCAGGCCCTCGAGGGGAGCCACTTCCTCAGGGTGAGGGCAGGGCGGCGGGATGTCCACAGGGGAGCCTGGGCACTGCTAGGAGGCAGTGGAGGGAGGTCTGCCAGGGCCAGGCGTGGGTCTCAGGAAAGCAGCCTTGGGCTCTGGCATGAGGGGAGGGGCCGCCGGGTCCCTGACTCAGTGGTGCTGAGCTGCTGGGCCTGGGAAGGTGAGAGGAACCAGGCACGGGGCCACCCATGCCCTTGGCCTGTTCCACACACGGCCGGCTCCCCTCACCAGATGTGGTGTGCTTCACAGAGCATCGAGAGCCAGATAAAGCTCTTCCCTTTCTCAGGTTCCTGCCAGCCCTGGGCAGTCTGCTAGGGCAACAGAAACACTGGGACTGGCTTCTGGACAGAGGCCTGCTGGGCTCCCACTGTGCTGATCCTGGGAGGTGCTGGGTAGAGCCGCCCAGCCCGTTCCAGGCATGGAGCCCAGACTCCGCCTGGCGTGCGTGTGGTCTGTGGCGGCCACCGAGCGGGAGCAGAGCAGCAGGACACCCCAGCCTGGCTCCCGGCCCTCACCTCACACTTGCTGCGCAGGCCGGTCTCCTGCAGGCGGGACCAGATGCTCTGGATCCTCCCAGCGTGCTCGGGGTGGCTGTTGGTGTTCCCACAGGCGCACTGGTGCTTCAGCATCAGCGTGTCATACACGAGGCCTGCAGGGAGGCGGGTGGTCACAGGGCTGCTGTGTGGTCTGGGGGCACTCAGGCCCACAGGGCAAGTGCCGTGCGCATGGGGCAGGTGGCAGGAGGAGTGTTGATGGTGCAGCACGGAGCTCTGCGTGACAGGGGACCATGGGGCCTCCAGGAGCAGGAGATGATGGTCCCTCCAGGCCCAAGTCACCCGGTCATGGCAGCCTCTGTGAAGTCACTCTGGGAGCAAAGTAGGCCCAGGGGGCCCCTCCACACGGGCCTGCTTACACGGGCAGCACGGCACGGCGGGGTTGGGCACATGTCAGACAAGCTCAGGAGGCACCATCACACCTGCTTTCCCAGGTTGGGCACGGGACCCCTCAGCAGGCAAGGCACCCGCAGGGTCTGCTGGCTGGTTTGCATCTGCCTGGGCTGAGGACTCGGGAGTCATGGAGACCCGGCTGCGGTGTAGAGAGCGCTGGCTCCATCACTTCCGTGTCTGTCCCCAATGTCACTCTCCCTGTTTACACTCCCTTCCTGAGGACAGGCGGGCTCACCTGGGCACGTGTGAGTTCTCACACCTCCAGCTCGGTCTCATGTGCTGTGCTAGTGGGAATCGGTCCTTGTACCTAATGGGCCTGGGTGCACTGGCAGAGCTAAGTGTGGAGGATGAGACTTCTGGTGAAAAAAGAAAGGCGGCAGTGTGGCTGGTGGGTGTGGGGCCTGGGAGTGCGGCCAGCAGGCGGGCAGGAGGCTGCGCTCAGGAGTCTGCGATGGCCGCACCACACTCGTGTGAACACACCTCCCACGTGTGTGCCTGCACATGCAGCTGTCCTGCCACTCCAGGCACAGACCCGGTGAGAGCTGGGGCGGGCCCTGCACACCACTGCCTTCTCAGGTGGGAGAGCTAAAGGGCCCGAGGAGGCGCCGCTCCGTGCAGCAGGCAGGGGCTGGGGCACGGGGCCGGCTGTGAGCCCAGTGCACCTGAGTCCACCTGTCCATCGGGCAGGCAGAGGGGTCAACTGGGGGGTGAGCCCACACCCCAGGCTGCACTGGCCCTTTCCTCGGTCTCCTCGTGCCTTCCTCTGCAGGGAAAGTGTGCTCATCTATCCACAGATTCGCACCTGGACAGGGCATTAGCAGAGCAGGCACCTGAAGTCGCCCGTGATTACCACAGCAGGGCAAGTCTACATGCTCCCTCCTCCGAGTGGGTCAGGCTGCGGCCGAGGCCTGGGCAGGAGCCACCCAGCGGGCTCCGTGGCCTTCTGCAGTTTCCCTCCTACTTTTTCTGAAAAGCAGCACTTTAATTTTGGGAAAATGACAGCCAAAGTTTTTCTCTGAACAGGAACAGGATCTCAAGACTGGAGAAGAATGTAGCCATCTTCAAGGCAGGCAGGAGAATGAGACACTTTCTGAGGCATGGGAAGAATGAATCATTCTGTTTACATAACATTTCCTTCACATGCCATGAAAAAGAAGTACGAGCTCAGAACACCATGGAGAGCTATCGCAGTTTCCAGCTTATCCCTGGCGGCAGTCTTGGGAAGCTACCTTCCTCCACCAGGGCCAGGGGCCGGGCAGCTCTGGCAGCTGTGGGCCTGGGGCCAGGTGTCCAGCCTCCACTGCCCAGGCTGCATGGGCACCATGCCTCTCCTTAGCTCTCACCCTCAGCACTAGGTACCTTTCTCACCAAGGCTGCAATGGCTCCAGCCCGCTGCCTGCCAACCACGGACAGAGCAGGAGCCCCGAGTGGCCCACGTGGACCCTAGGAATCTCTGGGACAGGAAGTGGGCTTCTGAGCCCATGACTGCCCCCAAAGCCAGCCGCAGGTGGCGCCACAACCCCTCGAGCCCCGCGCGCAGCAGCATTACCTGTGGTGAACCGCGGCTTGCTGGGGGGCTCCTGGACAGTCACAGGGAAGGTGGCAGACGCCGGGGAGGACTGTGCCCGGGACAGAGGCCGGTGGCTGCCGAAGGACACAGGGATGCCTGCGGCCTCCATGGATGCCTGGTAGGTCCTCAGCTGGTGGATCCGCTGCTGCTCCAGCAGGAGTGCTTGCTGTGGGAAAAGAGTCACTGGCTGCTGCCTGGACCCTGTCACCAAGCCCACGGGCATGGGTGACACGCATATGCTCTCACTCAGCCACCGACAGGCCCTGCGCGGCACACGTGGCCACACTCCGAGCAGGCAGAGCACCCAGCAAGGGAGACACAGCCCTGCCCTGAGGTCATGGCAGCCCAGTGTAGACACTACAGCACAGGCCATGGCCAAGCACCCCTCTGCCTGCACGGTCGGGGCTGCAGAGGCAGAGTCTGCCTAGACTCTGGAGTGTGCGGCTACCAGCAGGGCTGTGCACCCTGCAGGACCCTGGGTACCAGCTGAGGTGCCCCCATGGGAGGCTGAGTGGTACTGCCAGGCGAGATGGAGGGAGGCTGTGTGGGCCTTCCACAGCAGGCAGAGGAACTGCCCCTCAGCCTTCCAAGGGCTTCCATGCTGTCTGCAGGACAGCTTCTAACCAGGGGTTCCAGCCTGTCAAGTGACTATTCCAGTATTTCTCTTCACTTCTAGTTTTATTTTTCACTGGAACTTAAACCTCCCTGGATTTCTTCATCAGTCTCTCGTGACTTTGGTGACTGTGTCAGTGCCTGAGCATCCTACTAGCTTTCTGTATCCAACTCATACCATTTTTCTGGATCTGTACGACTGGTCACCAGTACCTCCTGGGCCCCCAAAGCTCCTGGCTTCTGATCAGCTTGCACACCTCTGTAATTCACCATCAAATCAAGTTCCCTGTCTCTCCCCAGCTTTAGTGGTCAAGCCTAATCCCACATGCACAGGGCTCTGTGCTAGTCTGCGGCTACTCTGCAGAGACGGGGACAGTGCCTCGGAAGGGCAGTGTGCAGGGTGTGTGAGTGTGCTGGCCCACACCGGCCAGAAGACGGGCGAGGCCTGGGACAGGGCAGTGTCCCTCCAGCAGAGGACACAGCCCGGCACACACAGGGCCGCCCGTGCTGCTTGCTGCTCCCGATGGGCACCTGTCTGAAGAGCAGCTCCTGATCAGTGGGTGGACGCTGGCCAGGCTCTGCCTCGCATGAGGGCTCCACCTCCTCCTCGTCACTCTCGATGGGCTCCTGCTTCACCTGCACGCCGCCCAGCGCATGTGCCTCCTTCTGCCCCGGAAGCCGGTCCAGGTAGGGCTCATCCAGCAGGGCCTGGTGCTCGCGGAGCTCCTCCTCCGTCTCCTCGGGGTGGCTCTCGGGCTGCCGGGCCGGCTCACTGGGTTTGGGGATGATCTGCAACGCAGAGGGACAAAGGAAGTTCAGACCTTGGTCAGCAGGCCGGAAGAGGCTCCACATAGACTCGGCACCTCGGGATGTGCAGTCAAGGGGCACCCTGTGCCCAGCCCCGCAGGAGCCACCCAACCTGGGCCTCAGGTGCTCTCCACGGCATGGGGACAACTGCAGCAAGACCCTGGCTCCGGGAAGGGGAAGACTGCAGGGTCCTGGGGGTCTAGCACGTGTCCCTCGCCTGCCAGGCAGACAGCTTGGGGTGAGCTGCCTACAGTTCAGGGAGCATGGGGCGAGGCCAGGTGACATGTGGCAAGCCACCCAGCAGGACACCCCGTGAGCTGGCCAGGGTCCCCAAGGGTCCTCACTCCAGCAAGGCCCAAGCTGGCGGGGCACTGATGAGGATGTGACTGGAACGATGGCTGCCTGAACCGCTCCCTGCTTTGCCAGTGGGGAAGGACACCCTAAGACTGCGGGCACACAGCCTGTCACTGTGCAGCAGCGGAGCCCACTGGCCCTCAGCGGGACTGCACTGCTAGAAGAATCATCTGCACAGACTCCGCTTCCGCAAGGACATGGCACTAGGGTGCCCGACCCTGAACCAGGGTGGCTGCATTTGGAAGTCCTCGCAAACTTGCTGCTGGACTCCACGACCCCCTCGCCCCCGCCACCCGCGCCGCGGACAGGCTTGGCAGACACGGCCTCAGGGTCACTGCTCCATAACCTACCCAGGGTCCTACCCTGGACACACAGGGGGTGCTCTTGCCCCTCAGTGCTCAGGATGGTGCTAGAGACTTCAGATGGCCGAGGGGCTCGGTCTTAGGGTTATCCCCTGGCTTGGGCCTGTCCATCATTTTAAGTAAGGTGTGGCTGAGAAGCCGAACCTTGCAGACACGGAACACATCCTCCCCTCCAAACCCGGGCAACAAGTGTTCATCAGACAAGGCTTCTACCTGCACGCGGCGTGAGCAAGCGGGGCAGAGGTGCCGTGAGCCCTCGGTCCAGGAGAGGGCAGCAGTCAGGGCCGGGAACCTGAAGCCACAGAGGCAGAGCCCACCCACATGGCAGACAGGGAGATGCCAGTCCCTCAGGGGGCAGGTTCCAATGACCTGATGCATACTGTCAGCATGCAGGTGTGCAGGGCAGGGAGCAGAAGCCAAGACACATCACTAGCTTGGCTCTGGAGAGCACAGCATGTGTGAGGACCGGATCACCCCACTGTGCCAGGTTTCAGTCACACCCCCACAGAACCAGGAGAAACCTATTTCAGAGAAATATGCTGCCGACCCACGCAGCTGCACAGACATACTCAAAGCAGTTCTAAGAAGCAGGCCATTACACATTCTCACGGGTAGTGGTTTGGGGGTTCACGGTCACTGCCAACTTGCCAACCCCACCCTCCTCCTGTGCACCCTGGGCCTGTGTGAAGGCAGGGAGGACAGGAGCCCGGGGGGACCCGTCCCGCCCGGCAGGGGCGCTGGGCATCCCCTCAGGGCTCTGGTGGGCATTCGCACCTTGGCCTTTAGGACACGTGGCCGTGGAGTCCCTGTGCTCTGCAACCTGCTGTCCTCGCACCTGTACAGTGTGAGTGGTAACAGGAGGAGGTGAGCCGCAGGGTTTATGGGGGTCTGCTGAGACTAGGCCTACAGCTCACTGCCACGGAAAAACAGCAGGGGACAAGGAATCTGCAAAGAGCCGGGAGGAGGCTCCCTGGAGGAGGTGGCAAGACTGCTGCGAAGGAAGTCGGGGCAGAGGAAAAGAGCAGCCAGGAGAGCCTAGGAAGCACCCTGCGCCCTTGGGGAGCACAGGCAGCCATTGTGTCGGGGGACACGTGTGGGAAAGCAGTGGTCACGGAGCTATAAATGTGGGCATGGCGCCCAGGAGGGGGAACAGACAGGGCCCTGGGCCGCAGGGCTCAGAGTACTGTGCACAGAAGGGACGGGCTGGAAAGGCTGAGCCTGAGCACGGGTGGGGACCCAGCAGGACCTATGAGCCGCCCAGCCACAAATGAGTGTGGCTTTGGAGACAGGTGAGGACGGGAGAGGAGTATGATCAGGAAGGAACAAGCAGGTGGGCCCAGGGGAAATGTGGTCACGGGAGCCCAGGGCAGACTCCGGGGACTGGATGAGGCCCAGAGGAGCCGCCACCTCAGACACAAGTGCCCCGAAGGAGTAAGAGGCAGGGGCTCGCTCCTTCGGCCTCACTCACGCGCACGCGCACAGGGGAACGGGGTCAGGGTGTCTCTGAGGGCGACCCCGCAGAGTGCCCCCCGAGACCTGGAGCCAGCCTGCTCCCTCTAGGAGCCAGGGCCCCTGCAAGGGCCCTCTGGAAGGCTCAGTTCTGAGTGCACAACAGTGGCTGGGCAGCAAGCGATGGGGACAGCCGAGAGAGGACAGTGGGGTGGAGACGGGTCCTGGCAAGGCTGAGGTGGTCACAGCAGGAAACTGGGTGTGTCCCTGTCAAAGGAGGGTGGCCGGGCTCTGACCCTTGTCTCGATGTCTCAAACCCAAAGAACAGAGCAGCATAAGAAAAGCCCAGAGTTTGCCCTTTGTCCAGGGGTCTGGAGACAGACTCGGAGTCGGCCGTTCCTCCTGCTACGAGGGCAGCTGCACCCCGACCTCTCCTCTGTGGTCCTTTTGTGGCACCAGGTGTCCCCGCTGTCTCTTTACCTTCCTCCCCTGGCAGTGGACCTCAGGGCCCTTCTGTCTTTGAGCTCAGACTTGCCCGACGTGCTGCACTGAAACGCCCGATCCGGACGCGGGTCCGTCCATGTGCCAGACTCAGGAGGGTGAAGGTCTCCAGGAGCAGCAGGGTGCAGGTGGCAGTGTGCGCTCGCAAGCCTCGGTGCGGGCTCCTGGCAGACGCCCTTTCCTCACCCACAGTGCTGACTGCGGTGGCGGCGGGCGACTTCCATGTGGGGAGGGGAGGCTGCGGTTGTGGCCATGTCGGCCTGCAGGGTGGCTTAAGGGTTAAGTGTGCGAGGGCCTCAGCCTTCCCTTTTTACTTTCCTGCTCTCTCCCACATTACAAGGTTTCCATCTCCAGGACAGGTCCTCTGCCTGAAGGACTTGAGGGCCCCGGAAGACGGCCAGGCCCAGCGACAGCTCTGCCAGAGGGTGCAGGCAGAGGGTGTGACCCTTCTAGGTTTCCGGAGAGCAGAGCCGAGCCCCCAGACCCTCCGGTGGAGCTCTGGGTCTCAGGATGTCCATGAGAACAGCCCTTCCACAGCAGGAGGTGACATGTGCTGGCTCCTGCCAGGCCGCAGGCGGACGCTGGGACACTTCACATCCTAGGTGCAGAGGTCCAGAGGGGGCCCCAGCCACACCAGGCTGCCCTCCAGAGGATACCTGGCAACAGTGCCACCACGGCAGTGCGGCAGCTGCATCAGAGCCCTGCCTGTGAGGAAGAGCAGCTTGCAGCCCACAGTGCCTGGCCTGCAGGGCTCAGCAAAGCCTGCTTCTCCCCGCCTTTGACACTGCATTCTTTTCTCCAGGGGCCAGCTGTGGCAGAGCCGGCCAGCAGGGAAGCAGTGCCAAGGCCAAGACGTGGTCATGCGTCCTCCAGAGCGTCATGGATGCCAAGAGCCCCCTTTTGTCGGCTAAGTAAGAACAGATGCACCTCCACGTTTTTAAATGACAGCCTGGAGTTCAAGGCCAAAGCAAGCACACCAGCATTTAAGAACAGCTGGACATGCTCGTGTTGAGAGCATCCAAACAAGTCCGTGTTTCCATCCGCACTCGAAAGGAGGAGTCACGCTGAAGGCAGACAACTGACGGAGGTGTCACGGTACCAGAGTCAAGCAACAGGGCTGTGGACGGAAACTGCTGCAGCAGTCGCTTTCAATCCAGTGGTAAAGAGCCTCTGACAGAGACAAAAAGGCACTCTGCCTGACACCAATTCCTGCTTAGGCAACGGGGCCATGCAAGGAAAGCCGGACGTGGCAGCAACCAGGGCCACCACCAGAGCGCAAAGCCCATGCACCCTTGGGTGCCCGAGGTCCCTCAAAGTCCCTCACTGCACATGGCGTGGAGCCAGCAATGGTGCTGCAACATCTGTACTGGGTGAAGGCTGAACGAGCAGCGGGCCAGCGAGACTACTGCAGCCCCCACTACGTCCCACCCAGGGGCAGTCCCTGGGATGACCTCCTTAGGACCAGGGCAGGATGCTGGTGCGGTGCCAGGCAAGATCAGTATCTTCCCGAGCACCCTAAGAAAGCAGTGTGTAAACGTTTCAATCAGCTGTCATGCGCTTCCATAAATCAGTCATGGAACAGAATCCAGTGAGATTTCCTGGTCTCTAAATCGCTCTTTTCAAGAATAAGCCACATGTGAATGGGTGTTTCTTGTCTTCCGCAAACCTCCTACCCTATCACTCAGAGTGACACAATGAAATTAATAAGCCTCAGCTGGCATGAGAAAGACAGACGTGAGAGTGCGTTTGACACCGGGAGTACAGACACTTGGCAGGAGCCTGTTTCACTCCCAGCAGTGCCTTTCCTGTGCAGAGGAGGAGCTGTTCGGTGCCCCCTCTGACACACTCAGTGCTGTCTGGCATGAGGGCCTGCAGGGCTGGGTGGTGAACTTCTCCTGGCGGGCAGGGGGGAGTGGATTAGGGTGCCCGCCTCCCTGACTGTGCATGCCCAGCCTGCAGCAGGGACACCTTGGGGTGGACCTGGGCGGGAGCCAGTAACCACAGCTGAGAGATGCTTTGTGAGGCAGCCCCTGTCCTGGACACTGGAGAAATCAAGCCTCTGCCTGTGGCGAGGGAACTCTGCAGATCCCCTTCTGAGCTGTAACCAGGGGTTCGAGAGAAGGAAACAGGAGCAGCATCTACCCTTGAGGGGTGGTGGTGTGCAGGGAGGCCCTGTGTCTCAGGGGGGCCCTGTGTCTCAGGGGAATCCTGTGCCTGACCTTCCAGGAGAGCCTCTTTCCTCCCACCCTTCAACAGTCCTCTCCTCCAGAAACAAGACCCTGCCACAGGCAGAGGAGCTCCCACGGGGAGGGGACAGGTGAGAAATAGTTCTGTCCACCTCCAAGCTGGCCATGAGCTCTGGAAGCGCCTTCAGGAGTTCCCTCTATCATCTAGCCTTTTGTTTTCTTCTGAAACAGCTTTACTGAGTACGCAGTAGTTCTCCCTTGTCCTCCGTGTCCTGTGGTCAATCAAGGTCCAAAACATTAATGAGAAAATTACAGAACTGCACAATTCTTAAGTTTAAAATTGCGCTCTGCTCTGAGTTGTTCGATGAAATCTTGCCCCAAGCTGCCTCTTCTGGCCCAGGACATGTGCCACCCTCTGCCCAGCATATCCGTGGCACATGTGCTGTCTGCTCCCCTGGCTGCTCAGTCACCGCCTCGGCTGTCATTCCGGCTGGTCTGACACTGGCTCACCATTCCAGGCATGCACTCAGGGCCTTAGGGTGTGTGGTCTCCGCCCCCATGGACGACTGAACTTGAGAACTTTTTCATCCCCTGAAAAGCAGCGCTGTGCCTGGCCCTGCAGACCAGCACCCCTTCCTGTCCCTATGGACGTGCTGGTTCCGGATAGTTCCTGTGAACTAAGCCACTCTTCGTGTGGTCTCCGTGCCTGGTGTGATGTTCTCTACCGACTTATCCCTGTGAATGTCCGCCACTGGTTGGCGCTGCGTACCCCTGCTCATGCCTGGCCTGGACAAGGGCCACTCCCAGGCGTGCAGTGACCGTTCCACCTCCTGAGGTGTGGGCAGGCCGTCTTCATAGCAGCCCACCTCTCCTGTCCGACCACATGCTTCTCCAGGCGCCAGCACGGGACCAAAGTGCCGCTGAGTGAGCGCTTGGCATTCCGCAGACCAGCGCACGGCACTCACCAGCCTACTCCAGGTGGAGCCGAGACTCCCGGACGTCGGTGGGCAGGTGGACCCCTGTGGAGGCCAGGCCCATGCCTCTCAGCAGTGTGACAATGCTAGGTCGGCTGGTGGCGCGTGTGTCCCAGAGTTGGGGACTGTGCGTGGCGGTTTAGGTGAAGATCTACTTGGGTAAGCAGAGAGCCCAGGAGGAAGAGCTGCGGGCACAGCCTGGCCCCGGCCCAGCCCCACCCCCACCCCCGGCAGGACGCAGAGGCCGCAGACCTGCCCCACCTTGCTCGCCCACAACCTGGCCACGCCCTCACCCACCTTGCCCATGTGCAGCTGCTGCTGCTGGAAGTGCTGCTTGTGCTTCTCCAGGAACTGCTGGTGCTGCTGCTGGATCACCAGGTGCTGAAGGGCCTGTGCGCTCTGCGGCAGCGGCGCCGACTGCGTGCGCCCCAGTGGGCGGTGCTGCCGCAGCTTGTGCATGGACGGGGACACACGGTCTGCGCCGACCAGGGGCTGTGCGTGCAGGGGCAGCGCACCCAGGCCTGGAAGATAACGTGGAGGAAGAAGCAGTGGAAGGTGAAGAGGAGCAAGGGGTGAGAAGGCTGCTGAGTAACCATGGAGATGATGGTGCTAGGCACCTGCTCGCCCAGGGCCTCCTCCCTTGGTGCCGCAGGCTGCCTGTCAACGTGTGTGAGCTTAGGCTCTGGAGAGCAGAGGCAACCAAAGGCCAGGCCCCTGAGGGAACAGCAGGAGTCCTACCTCAGAGGCAGCTCCCGGAGGCCTCCATTGTGGCTCCCCGGGGCCAGCCTGCCACTTCTCCCGCCTGTGTCCAGCAGCTAGATCCTCCCCGGAGGAGCGCAGGAGACCCCAGGGGGACCAGAATCAAGGTCAGGTGGCAGGCAGGGAGAGAAGGGCCCAGGTGATGCTGGGCAGGATGGGTGGGGCTGCAGGCGAAGGGAGTGTGGAAGACTGCAGATTAAGGACAACCAAGCCGAGAGTCACCACCTCCACCAGAGGCCAATGCTGCCTCATGAGAACATGTGACCTGTGTGACCCATTGCACAGATGGGAGGTAAGGTACTTGGCTGCACGCGACTTCAAGCATTTAAGAACAGGCGGGAAGGGACCCTGCAGTGGCAAGTTGTGGCCCACAGGTCAGAGACATCACTCTCCGGGCCAGGCACAGAAGGCCCCCTGTCTACATGGAATGGACACGCAGGGCTGGGTGCACCACTGCTACCTTGATCCACGACCCAAAGAGCTGAGTATTCAAGGGGGATGAAGAAGCACGTGGCGAGAATGGAGAACCACAGCTTGCAACAGGACCAACCCTAGCCAAGCCAACAGAACCGAATCCACAGCCACCGGCCAGCGTCCTGTGACACACGGAGCACTGGAGCAGGGCCACCACAGGAGATGGAGTTATGAGGAGCAGCTGAGCCGGTCTAGCTGTAGATCCCTACCAAAGCCACACCTGGCTGGAAGCCAGCCACCAAGCCAGGGTCAGCGTGCTGTGACAGCAGCTCGTCCTCGTGTCACAAGAAAGAGACATGTCCCCACACTTTGGAAACATGCTCCATACAGTGGTCCTCTGCAAGCTCATAACAAATTCCCTATTTTCCTCTAAGTTGCATTTTTCTAAATATACCCATCATCAGAGGGCGCATATTTATAAAGTATTTTGCTGCCAACAGAAACCAACTATCTGTCTAGTTCAATGATGAGCTTCGCGCACTTGCTGAGTCCCATCGACACTAAAACACAAATCACAAGGCCCAGTGAGGCCCTGGAGAGGTCACCCGGGTAGCTGGTGCCTGCTTTTCTTCCCACACCCAGCTTTGCAAGAGCCTCGTTCCCCACTGCAGTGGAGGAGACGGGTCACGTGACAGGGCCCCTCACATGGTCAGTGGACAGGCCTCCCCTCCTGCCCAGCGCTGTGGGGTGCTTACCTGTGACGAGGGGGGCCTGTGCGGGCGGCTGCTCCAGTAGGACCATGTGCTGCAGAAGGGGGCTGTGCGCTGCCCCGCCGTCCCGCTCCAGGGGCGAGGCGCCCAGATAGGGGCCCAGGTGGGTGCCGGGGAAGAGGGAGATCCGCTGCTGCAGGGCCGGGAGAGAGAGCCTCTCGGCGTCCTGCTGGGCTGCTGTGCCCTGGAAAGCACAGCTGTGAAGCTCAGGCCGTGGGGATCCCCACGCCACCAGCCTCGCTCAGACCCGTGGGCGCCACTTACTGCAGAAGGGCCAGTGGCAGGAAGTCCCAGGGTGATGTTCGGCAGGGACGGCGATGTGTAGAGAGGGAGCGGGGCGACAGAGGCTTCTCGAGTCACAAGTCTGTGTGCCAAACTGGTCTGGAGAGAGAACACACGGTGAGCGTCACCCGGGTTGGGTCCCCGACGGCCACACAGTGGCCTTGCCCCCAGGGGAGGGCGGGCCGTGGCCCTGGGGGCAGAGGGCACTGGGCGAAGAAACACGCCAACAGACGGCAGCACGCCGGTGAGCGTCCAACTGGGAGCACACCACCAGGGAGCAAACACGCTCGCACCCGGCCCACAAGTTCACTCCCCGAATAGGAGTCCTCTCGCCACCTTGTCTGTCATCACCTATTTTTGCCCAGTTTGCTTACTTACCACAAAGGTATCAGAAGAAACTCTGGGATAATTCATTAAAAATAGTTTTTGTAACTGAGAATGTCTTTTCAAAGATAACATCAAAAGCAGAGACTAAAGAGGCAATGAGTGAAAAAAGGAAAAAATTCCTCTTGCGAAAGCAGGCAATGGTGACAACAATATTGGCAATGTACAGGGCAAAGGCTAATCCATAAAGAGTTCGAGATCAGAGAAAAATTAATAGTGAGAAAAGCACAGCCCACGAAGGACCAAAGAAACCATACGAGAGAGAATAAACTCACAAGAAACACTCGTTACCATCAATCTGAAACCATTTAAAGACTTCAGAAGCGACAGTGCCATCTTGGCCCAGGGAAACAGAAGTGCACTGTGGTGGGTGGTGAACGCCCGAGCTTTCTGCAGGGCACGGGGCACTCTGCGTCCGTGCCGCGAGCCGAGCTGCGCTTGGGCCTGAGACCCCACTCCCAGGACATTGCTCAGAATGGCCCGAAGGAAGTGACCCACGTTCTGACCTGCACTCAGGTGCATGTGCACCCTGGACACGCAGGAGCTGGGAAGCATCCCGAGGATGGTCGCTTGGACACTCTTTTGTGATAAACTCCTTCAAAGTCATAGAATGATGGGCTTTCTAACAAGGGCTCAGCCACTCAACATGTGTCTGCAGGAGCAGCAAAGAGCCCTCAGAGGAGGGCCGGGGGCAGGGGCACCTGAGCCACAGGGCTGCGAGAGGGGGTCACATCCTCTAGACCCGAGCCTCGGACCTGTGGTGAGGGGCATTCTGCAGCGTTTGAGCCTGAGGCTGGGGTGGGCCATCCTCCAGGACCTGAGCTCAGGCTGCATAACATCTTTGCGTCTGTAGGACACACAGGCTTCAATCTAAAGGACAGCGTCTTACTAGCCACTGTGTCTCTACACCATGGACACCTAATGAATGGGCAGCGTCTGAACCAAATGGACAAATGCAGAGGCAGGGACACTCAGCAGAGGGGTTTGGCGGGCAGAAATCTGAAAAACAAAGTGCCTTTAGTAATGAGCATACAAACCAATTTTCTCCTACTTCTCACGGCAGACTATGTAACTAAGGTGGAGAAACATTCTGAGCGCTTTAAAATTTCATTTCCTAGGACAAAAATTAATGAGCTGAACATTACTACAGGTCACTGCTAACAACAGTGCAAGTACGGAGCAGCGGTGCCCTCGCCTGGCAGGAGACCGACAGCGCCCTCTCTCCCGAGCACCTGCTCCAGCCACTTGGGCCTTTTCAACTCTCACTGACATATATGGTGTGAGCAACTAAAGGGCTACTGGAAAAAGTGTTTTCCCTAGGTGAGAAGTTTGTTTTGCCCAAAGTCAAAGGAATATCTGTAGGTCTTGCTTTAGAGAAAATGGTTGCGATTGCCAAGGAAAGCAGGACTCTACTGTGATATAATTAGCTGGGAACAAAATAAGCAGGCCATCTAATATTTGTAAAGTTATAATTTCCTTTACAGCTAAGCTTGTTTTTGGTTTTTTTTAACCTAATATTTTTAGAAATAAAGCAGCCTACTGAGAACTGCTTGCTTATGTTGATCTGCCCCATGAGAAATGGTGGGGTGGTTGTGGTATCTGCTATTTCCAGACAGAGCCCTTCAGGGTGGGTCCCAGGGAGGGCTGGAGCCGGTTACTGCAGGGTGAGCGAGTCAGCTTGCCAGGAGAGGCACAGGGATTCCTCAGGATCCCATGGGGCACCGGCCACCACCAGCAGCGCTCATGCACCTGCAGAGGTCCCGTGGGTGCAGCACCCTGCTCCCCTGCAGAGGGCCTTTAGCATGCAGCAGCGCTTCCACAGGGGCCAAGGAGGTCTTACTCCTGGCACACCCTCCATCTGCACCAGACGCCCGCTGTGTGGCACGAGTGTAGCCTTCAGGCCACACCCTCACACAGCCGCCCAACTCCACCAGGGACAGCTGTGTGCGAGCAGAGTCACAGGCCACCTCATCCTGTGACAGCGAGCGTCTGACGTGAACCACAGGCAACCTCACCTTGCACAGTTCTTGTGACTCCTTTTCTCTGTGCTATTAACTGCCAGCAGCTCAATTTATGTATCACATGGCTTGCAAACATTAGCACATCACTTAAATCAGAGCCACGCAGATCCACCCAAAGAAGGCACTTTCACAGTACTAACCCGATGTACCTAACTGCCCACACTGCATGAGTATCTGTGGCCACGATCCACAGACGGGACTGGGGTCGGTGTCCCAGGGCAGGAATCCCTTCTAGATTGCATTCTGACGCCACTGACAGGGAGCTCAGCTGTGACCTCAAGTCTGGCAGAGAGGGGGTGTCAAAAGTTTAGTAATCTAAGTACTTAGATTAGAAGATTAAAAATACAGATAATAAAATAGAGGACAAAGTGAAGCGGATATGAGAAATGAGTGCCAGGTGACCACAGGCAGCAGTGAGACCCACCCCTGCCAGTGGCTCTGGTTTCCATGAGCTCTTTACAGGAAAGGGGCTCCACTTGCTGTGAAGATGCGAAGCTGCCATGCAACTGAGGTCTGAAACCCTCCGGAAGGGCAGCATTCATTTCTAAATATTTAGGAAGTTAGTGACTGTGCCTAATAAATTACAGCCCTCTGCAAGTTGGAAACTCCCACTCAGCACCCTCCTGCATGCGGCAGATGGAGTTTCTGGTCAGTCTGTTGGGAAGCTCTGCCGTGTGGCCTCCCCACAGCCCACCTGCCCGCCGGGGGCCTGCCTGGCCCACCAGCCGGAGCGGCGTGTGGAGCGCTCCTTGTGCCTCACCGGGATGTGCAGCGAGTCCAGGGAGTGCAGTGCTGGACCCACGGGCCTGGAAAGGCACTGACAGAGTGTGGGGAGGCTGAGGCCACGGCCAGCCCCGGTGCCCGGCCGTCCTCGCCAGGCTCAGATGTCTGCCATTGGCCCCACCGGGGACCCCGGAGCCCTCTCTGAGCCTGCCCGCCCTCGTCTGCCCTGGCAGTGTGGACTCCTGGGGTTCCTCCAGTCTCCCAGGCACCTGCTTTCTTGGCCAACACTGTCCTTTGTGTATTTCTCATTGTCTGTGCTCACTGCCGGCCTGGACACAATCCCACGTGGTCTGTGTTGGGTCAGCCTCTCCTGCAGCACGCTGGGGAGAGGCCAGAGGGTGACAGGCGGAAGGCCCTTGCAGCGTGGCCCTGCATGCACTGACCTCAGCCGGGACGTTGGACATGGTGGTCGAGATGCCGTTCTCAGTGCTGACGTTGCCAGAGCTGCTGTTGGGTGAGCTGGGCCCGGAACCTGGGGCACTGCTGCACGCGGAGTCTGTGGGCGGGAGACAGCAGTTAGGGCTGGCTCTGCGTGGATGGACGCGCCTGTGGGATGCCGTCGCAGTTCCGAGCGGGTACTGTGATGTCCATCCCTGTCTTTCCGTTCGCTGCTGACCGGCCTCCCAGGAGCGTCCCAAGCTCACCCCTCTGTGGACGCTCTTTCCCCAGAGGCTTTCGGGGTGTGTGTACTGTTAATTTCATAGCTGCTCTGAGTCTCAAAATGATCTGAAACACGAGAGAACTAAGCCCTTAAACACTAATATGCAAACAAACAAAGAGCGGGGAACACAAGAGGCCAAACACTCTGCAAGGGGAAGGTCAAGTTCACCGTGCTCACTCAAAACTCTAGGTCAAAGTAAAGCGACCTATCATTACCACTCAGGCTGGATGCCGCCCTCCTCTTCCTACTCAGTACCGAGCAGCCGGGAACACAGCCAGTGGCCTCTGCGGCTCAGCAGTGCACCTCAGAAACAGCCCGAGTCGGACGGCGTGGGCCGGAGAGGACGCTGGCCCCGCTCCCGCTCACTGCAGGGCCCTGCACGCCTCCTCCCGCGCCGCGCCGCATGCAGCCTCTGCGCACGAAGCAGAGAGGGCCTGGCCGTTCTCCCTGCTGCTGAGCGCATCCCCACAGCAGCGCCACTTGGGAGGCTTTGCAGGGCACGTTCACGCACTGTGGGGCCTGCCACTCTGCCACACGCTGGACAGCAAGAGCCCTGCCCAACCTGAATGCCCAGCAGGGCCACAGAAGGACACACCTGCACAGCTTGCTCTGCGAAATGCTCCAAATGCAGGATGGAAGCCAAGGAGCCGCGGCCCTTCAGACCCTGCAGACGGAGCTACAGGAGCTGGGCGGCGGAAGGTGCCATCAGCATCCCCGCTGCACAGAGGGGCGAATCAAGGACCCAGTGGTAATGTCACTTGCCCCAAGCCACAAGCTTAAGGAAGATGACAAGGGCCAACAGGTCCCCAGGTTCATCGGGCAGATGAGGAAGGCCCCTCCTCTCCGCCCAGGAGCAACCTGAGCTGACTCTTGACCCAAGGCGTCTAACCTCGTTCCCAAACTGGATCCTCCCTGCTGGGGCAAACCCGCCTGGGCCAGCGCACTGTGGGGGCCCTGATGGCGAACACAGGGTCCGCCCCTGGCGGGCTGCACTCTGTCCAGACACTGTGTAACCCAGAGCGTGCTCCGCGTTCCTGCTGGAAGCCGCTCTCTCTGGATCCTGACTCGGGAACCACTCACTCTGGGCACTGCTATCAGGCGGGCAGGGACTCAAGGCTGGGAATGCACGGCGTCCACTCAACTACGGGTGAAGCACACCGAGAGAGCCTGGGAGGAAACGACACCTGGTGACGTCCCGGAAGGGCAGGTACAGTGGCTCACGCTCTTCTTTGGGCTCTCAGCTGGCGCGGGTGAGGCTAACCCCGGGGAAGAAGCCAGGAGTGACTGCCATGCCTGCAGCCCCTTCTCATGGCCCTCCCTACACTCACCGTGGACGTGGCGCTCTTTGGCTCAGGAACTTCACCACTCTCCAGCAATCAGGGGAGTTCCAGCGCGCTGCTGGGGACCCCCTTCCTGTCCTGCTGTCTGGGGACGCAGCACTGCCCAGAGCCCTGCTGCCCGTGTCGCACAGCCCTCCGACTCTGTCCCAACCTCACTCATCCATCAGGCCCCAGCCCAGTCCACCTTTGCTGCAGCTCTCTTGGCTCAGGGCAGCTTTTGCTGACCTCCCCTCAGCGCTAGGCAGGGCCTGGATGACAGCAGACTCCAGGCTAACGCGAGGGGGAGCGTGAGGAGAGGAGACGCAGTCTCATCCACGCCTGGCTGGGAGAACCAGGGCTCGCCACGCAGTGGGGCTGGCACAGCAAGGTGCGCTGCAGAGGGGCAGGGCTGCACCAGTTAAACGCCTTCAGCTCCCGTGCTCCTCATTCAAACTGAGTCCTCCTCAGTTAATGACCCTCGTGGGACTTCATAGCATATCTTTCAGTTTCTCTAGACAGAGGCGTCTCTGTACTAGAACGACGGGGAGAAGAAAGCCACATGAAACAGGAGGACAGTGCCAAGAGGGGCCACGTCCCCAGGGCACGGAGGTGTGCACTCTCACGCAAAGTGCAAACACCCAGAGGCAGGCCTGGGAGGGGCTCACGCCGGGAATGGGGTGCGGGCCGCTCTCCTCTCTTCCTGAGGCCGGGGCCTGGGAGCCCTTTGGGTCCCGCTCGGGTGGCAGCAGGTTCACCGTCACAGGCTGTGACGCTCACAGACCCGCCATGCCGAGCCGGCCTTGAGTTAGCAAGTGCTCAGGGCCCACTCTGCCCAGGTGCTGAGACTCCAGGAACAGCGGAGGTATGCCAGGAGGGGTGCTGGGGGCGTGCCTGGAAGGTGGGGGCTCCTTTGGGGGTCACGCCTCTGAGGGGTGGTGCCCTCAGGAGAAGCAGGGTAAAATGTCCTCCTTGGGTGGGGTACTGTGCACCCTGGGGCTCCCTTAAGAGGGCCTGTGAGGGGCAGTGCTCCAGAAGGGATCCGCACTGGTGTCCTGCTGCGTATCTACCACTAGGTGGGGCCAGCAGCAGCATGTTCACAAAAGCTCAACCTGCTGAGCCCCTGGCCTCTCTGTCCAGCTGGGCACGGCTGCTGGGAGAATGTGGCCCTGCACTGTTCAGAGGGCACGCAAAAGGGCCAGGAGCCCGCCATTCACCTTCATGGGGCAGGGCAGTCAATCACACAACTTCAGGCTCCCCCGTGAGAGGCTCCCCGACGCCAGGCCAGATCACACCCTGCCATGGCTCTTGCCAGGTACTCTGAGTCCCCGATGCCGGGTGGCTGGGCCTGATGTGTGCAGTACCACTCAAGACCGCAGTGGGCTGACCGAATGTGCGGCCAGACATACCTGTGACATCCAGGGGACGCTTTTTTAGGGCAGTAACCACGGGCCCATCCTTCCTGCGCAATAGGGGGCTGCTCCGTCTCTCTGCCACTTTCTGCTTAAGTCTGGACCGCAATTTCAGGTTGGGTTCAGAAGCTGCACAAAAGGAGATGTGGTTATAGCCTAATCACACACACACTGGATGAAGGCCCGCTTCTGCCAGGGATAAAGGTGGCTCTGCGGGCGGGCAGCGTCTGGCCCTCTGCCTATCTGCCCAGAGAGGGTGCAGCTGAGCATCTGGACACCGAGGTCCCAAGCGGAGGCTGCAGCCAAATGACGCCATCACTGCACTTCACGTAACTGCAGATGGGAACAAGGCTACAACCATCTCCCGGGCACGGCAGGAATCAGGGCAGTGTGACAGCCACTCAGTAGCGACATCTGGTAAACTGTGTTCTCCTGAACAATTCACCTGTCTTCACAGCAGTGCTGCTCTGACATCTGAGGAAAACAGACTCTGTGGGCTGCAGACCGAGTGTATTTTGACTGCTGAAACGCAGGCTTTCTTAGCCTACAGATGCCCACATCTCATGATCCACAAGTAAACTGCAGCTCTGGCTGCTGCTGGCCTCTGGAAAACCTGCACCTGAAGCCCCAGGAGGCCTCCCTCCTCCATGCAGCCTGGGGCTGTAGCAGCAGAGTGTGGGTCACCTGTGCAAGGGCCGGAATGTCTGGGCAGCTATCTGGTCCAGGACCCCAAGACTGTCTGCCACAAGCCTCTGGGGGTTCCCCGGGCTCCTCCCAAGCTTCCCACTGTGGATTTTCACGGTGGTGATTCACCACCTCCTCTTCCCCCTCAGCACCTCTGCTGTTCTCAAGTCTTTCGGGAAGGCAAGGTTCCCCACTTCCAGATGATCTTCCTCTAGAATAAAGTCCTGAGGGTCGGGCTGGGTTCTAAAAAGAGGAGCAGGTGCTACTCCACTCTTGGTGAGCGCCTCCTGGCCTGGGGCATGTGGGCAGCCCTAACCGCCTGCACTTGAAAGCAGGTGTGCGGCCTCTGCAGTTTTCCAGGTGCCTTGGAAGGTGGGAGAAGCAGGTTTCCGAAATTCACTTTCCAGAGAAAGCAGGCTGTGTTCACGAGGTGTCAGACTCCTTGAGACCCCCAGCCTGCCTTGCAGGCACTCACGAAGGGCGGGGGCCTGCTCCTCCTGGTGCCTGCGTACAACCCAGTGCCAATTCACCTACAAAACTTGTGTGACAGCAGAGAAAGGATTTAGTGACAAAACTGCCTTCTCCTGGGCTAGAGGGCCACTGTTTTCAGTGTGTGTTCTGCGCTAAGCACAGGCTAAATGTTCCGCTCCCGTGTGTATGCTACATTTTTTATTTAAAAATGAAAACAAAACAAGCCAAAACCCTGCCTGGTCACTGGGCTAGGAAACAATGCCTCTTCTTCCACCACCAACAACTCAACTGAAGCCCAGTGGGGCTTCTTTAGCCCCTTGGCAGGTATGGGGACAAAGGCTGCGGACGGTGGAAGAAGCGGCCCGAGACATGTGGCCCGTGGCCCTGTGTGGGAGGGCCTCCTCTCGGGCATGCCCTTCCCGATGCCGGGGAGTGGTGCACACACCATTGGGTGACAGCCTGGGACAGCGTCGCTCTGGGCCAGCCATAAAGCTGGCAGTGCTACTGTGGCCTGACACCCAGCCTCCTCCAGGCTGTGCAGGTCTAAGTCAGGCTGGAGGTCACTTCGAGGCCCCGCCTCTGACCAGGTCTTCAGATGAGCGGGACTGTGGCCCCCACTGTCTCTCCACAGCCACTGCTGAGCTTCCCAGACTCCTGCTGACTTCTGGCCACAGGACTGGCCACTGTGCCCTTTGGACCGCCTCCTCCCCACCACACTCTGCCTGCGGGATGGTTGCAGCTGACCAGCAGGCTTGGAGCACGACACGACACTGCCAGGGGCCAGGAGTGTCCCTGTGGGGCTCTCAAGGACCCTGTGGAGTCCACTCGACTAAGGCCCTAACTCAGAGCTAGGAGGGGCTGCACAGCAGGCTGGTGCACAGGGGGCAGAAAAGCTCCAGGGGAGAGGCAAAGCCCATGCTGGCACTGGCAAAAGCAAGGTGCAGCCGGGCATCATGGCATCGGGGGGTGGGGGGAAGGCCTTGCTGGGAGGTGTGGGAGGTGTGGGAGGTGCTGTGCTGCAGGGAGGGACCAACTCCTGCGAGCTTTGCTCCGGAAGAGCCTGTTCTTCAGTCACCTCCTGTTTCCACATCTCGCATCTCCAAGCCAAGCCCAACTGAGCTATCCTTCAAAAGAAGATATGGTGGGCCGGGGATTTAGCTCAGTGGTTTCACCGCCTGCTGCACAAGCGCAAGGACCTGAGTTCGATCCCCAGTACCAAAAAAAAACAAAGAAGATATGGTGACCTGCAGTTTTCACTATTCATATCCGTATTTCCCAAAACTCCCAATTCAGCCACATGGCAGAAGTTTAGGACACAGGGTCCCCACCTGTCCACAGCGAGGTGGGCACACAGGGGTGTGTGGGCTCAGTAGAGGGCCACAGAGCTGTGCTGAGACACCCCTGGCAGGCTGCGGGTCAGCAGAATGCAAGAACAGAAGAGCACTGACTGCTCTACAACGCAGCATTTGCATGGGGGCGGGTGGCGGGCAGGGATGTCACTCCTCAGAGGTGACCCAGTATCTCACAAATGAAGGCGGATAGAGCATTCTGATCTCAGCCCTAGAATCCACCAGCCCCAGTGCTGGCTGGGGTCAGTCGGTTGATCTGCAGGAAGCGATCCTGAGAGATGCAGCCCTGTGCCCAGCCCAGGAGTCCTGTATACCGCCCTGAGGAGTCACTCACAGGGTGACACCAGTCCCTGCATTGGAATGCTCTTGACGTGAGACTTTTAGAAGGGACACACGCACATCCAGTAGCAGGACCGAGCACAGCTTCCCTCCAAGTGCCCTCGATTTGCGGTGGAGGCCGTGGCCAGCGGCCAGTGAGGACGGAGCAACGGAGAATGCTGGGGCACTGCCAGGGTCAGAGGCTGGTGAACTGAGCTTCGGGCAGAAGACTCTTTGGGAGGGAAAAGGAAGCCCTGAAAGGGGGGAGGAAGAAAAGGTAGAGGACTTTCAAAGGGGAGAGAGAAAGAATGAAGAAATGGAAACTGGGAAAGATCTAACATGAAATTGATGAGACCACCAGGAGAAAACAGGGAAGGGAAACCACAAGCAGAACAATTTGAGACCCGCTCCTCTTCTGTACAGCCCAGGGGACGAGGACCTGGAGAGCCTCCTGGGGGCCCTGCACCGCCCGGAGCCCTGGGGACTAAGGGTCAGCCTCGAGCTGCTTAGGAGTCTCCAACAGCCACGTTAAGGACAGGGTGGTGAGCTGAGACCCTACAGGATGAAGACTTCCATGCCAGCCAATGGCTGGTTCAGTGTGTGCCAGAAGAGAGAGCAAGCAGCAAACAGGGGCCGCTGAGTCCCACACTCCCTGCAGTTTCTCGGAGTGCTACTGGGAGGGGTACAGAGAGGAGGAGGAGAAACACAAATGCTGTGGACACACAGAGTCAGAGGGAGAGGCTAAGAGGCAGAGTCATGGCGGCTGCAGGAGGGGCCGGAGGGCAGGCTGTCCAGGCAGGACAAGAGCCAGGAGCCAGGTCCCCTACTCCGCAGAGAACAGTCTCCTGGGGCTGCCAAAGATGGGCCTGGATCACCAGCAGAAAGAGAAAACGAGCAAAGGCAAAAACACGATCAACTTCCAGGACAAGGTCCGCAAGAAAGGAACCAAGATGCCCTCTGTGTTTCAGCTGAGAGCACGTTTGTCACAGCATGGTAGGACAGGGTGCAGCACAGCCTCCCTGCCCTGAACACAGTGGGGCGCTCTGTGATTTATTTATTCACTTTGTGAAGAAAATAAAAAGATGGTCCTACATCACAAACTGCAGATTGGAATATTACCTTCGAAACACCAAATAGACGTGAGAATGGTGGCAATACACAAAGAATGTCACACAGACGAGGAGGAAAGGAAACGGCCTGCAGGGATGGTGCCTGGAGTCTGCAGCATGCCATGCTCCCTCTGTGGCAGCTGCTTGCACTCCAGGGGGAAAGACAGAGCACACGAGGCGTGAGGTGTCACCCCACCACCGCACAGCCAGGCCAACCGGGCCACCACCTGCGCAGTGCCAGTGGGGAGGATGCACGCTCCCGCTCCCAGTGGGGGCAGTGGCTGCTCAGGAGCCCGATCTTAGGGCTCCTACAGCAAGGTCGGCAACAGCTGCTTCACAGGGGCTCCTGCAGGCACCGAGGCCAGGCACAGAGTGGGCAGGAGAGGGCAGGTGTGCAGACACAAGCGGGATGAACCCAGGCAGCTGGGCTGGCCATGCGGGCCACAGCCATCGAGGCTCCCTGAGGGTAACAAGACACTCAGACAAGGTGTGCATTATTTTCATGAGGGAAGTAAGACCTCCCTCGAGAGGGCACGGGTGTGAATGTCACCCAGGGCGCCTACTGAAGCACATGTAAAAAGCACACGGCACGCTGAGGAAATCAGCCTCGGAGACGTCTTACATGTTCAGTCCATGAAATATACAGTGCTGCTCCTTACACACCAAACTGTATGCTGGCAAACTGTATGCCAGGTGGATGTATGTAGGCACTCGTGTAATTCTTCCAGGTGCGGACGTGCCAATCAGTACAGATTTCCATACGAATTCTGTCACGGTACTTTGTGGGGCTGAATCTCACTTACTGGAGTCTTGAGAGACGCAGGCTGGAAATCAGCAGCAGTGAGGCCCAGCGCATGGGAGAAGCTACGTTCAGGGCGATCCGAGCGCCCCGCTGCACACTGCTCGGAGGTGGGTGAAAATCTCTGGAATCCTTCTATGGTTAATGTTGTTGATGTGCTAGCAATGCCTTTTTGGAAACTGGCAATGTATTCCCTTAATCGGGGTCCTCTGGGACGGGGTCTCCAGGGCTTGGGCTCTGGGGCAGTGCTGCAGCCCAAGGTCACAAACACAGCTGGCGCTGGACTGTGCTCCCGTCCCCAGCGAAGAGCTCAGCACAGCTCAGTGCTCCAGGCACCAGAAGGGCAGGGGCCCCGTCAACCACGGTCCCAGGCCAGGTGGACTTGGTGACCAGGAGTGACAGTGGCCCTGGGGTACATTGCTTCCTGCAGTGCTCTAGGGGGCCTGCTGCAGAATACTCACATAGGTGCCGGTGGGGGCATGTAGGGGAGGGCAAGGAACGAGAGCCACCAGTCCCTGCCCTGCTGTTCTGCTCTGGGACTACTGTGGGCAGAGGGGCGGGTGGCAGCATGGCCCTTCCTGGTGACCAAGGAGGGTGAGTCCCTTGCTGAGAGCTAACTGCTCTGCATGACAACAAGCTCTCACCCAGCGCACCCTCTACTTCCATGACTTTTGGGGACAGGGTCTCGCTATGTAGTTCAGCCTGACCTTGAACTCACTGTGTAGCCCAGGCTGGCCTTGAACTCTCCGCAATCCTCCTGCCTCAGCCTCCCGAGTGCTGGGATTACAGGTGTGCACCACTACATCTGGCTTGTCTCTTGAGGCCCTGCTCCACGGGCATCCCCGGCCTGGCATGGCCACTCCTGCACAGCCCCCACATGTGATCAAGTTGGTCCTGCGGCCTCCCAGGATGGCTTCACACTCTGGTAAGAAGCTGCTATGGGACAACTGCCTCAGTCGCCTCTGCCCAGAATGCTGGATAACAGGAGGTGCGTGGGTGAAAGAGCAGAGCCCTCTGACCTCACTCCCAGGAGCAGCCCTCGAGGACGCCTGCAATGTCCCACACTGCCCCGGTTCCTGGGCTGCACCTGCTCCTCCACGATGAGGCCCCTGCCCTTCTTGCCACCCTGACCCTTCTCAAAGCCACCGCCCCATCCAAACCGTCACCTGGAGAAGACACGGAGCGCCCCGGCCTCCCCAACAGAACAGTCTGGCGTCCTGTGGCTCCGCCCTTCTCCCTCTGCTCACGTGAGAGCTGCCACGCACTGAGGCCCCTGGGCCCTGCAGGACACTGAACTCCCCACAGCACTGCCCCACTCCGGGCACCCTAACTGCTGCCTGCCTGCGCACTGCCCAGGGCCAGCACAGAGGTCTAGGTGCTCGCTTGCTCACTGAACGCCAGGCAGCTCTGGGGCATGGCCGGGCGCTGCATGTCACAGGAAGGAAAGCGAAGCAGGGTCTCCAGAGGAGCCATGTTTAGAAAGAAACACACATGTGTGCATTCTTTCTTTTGGTATGGATGCTAAGGGAAAGCTCAGGGAGATCTTTTCAAAATGACGCTCTTGCGATAGAAGCCCACTCTGCAAGCCTGCGAGGGGCCTTGCTAAGTGGTATGCTCCCGCTGGCTTGGCCTGAACCGGGGAAAGATGCCGGTGTGGGGCATCCTGGGCAGCAGAGCTCGGCACTGACCTGTTTTCCTCAGAGGGAAGTCATCTTTGGCATCGTACATCCCCAGGACTGGGTGGTTGTAGGAGGCTGACACCCCGCTCTGTGGCGGAGAGCTCTGGTCCAGGGAGCTATGTTGCGTCTTCCTGCAGAAGAGAAGATGGGGTCAGTGTGCCGTGGTGTCACCAGAGCCTGTGGACAGTGCCTGCAATCCCCAGCTCACTGCCAGCCCCTGTCCCCCGGGCAAGCGGGAAATAAAACCAGATTCTGACACTCAGGCAAGGCGCCGACAGCCCCCTGCCTGCCTTGCCTGCTGCCTGCTCTGCCCTCGAGGGTCATCACTGGCCACTCAGAGGGCCTGTCCTCAGCGTGCAAGGCAGAGCAAGACAGGTGAGCTCAGCAGCAAGGAGTCCAAGGTGCATCCAAGACGTGAGCAGGGTCTGGGACTCTGCCTATCCAAGAGCGGGAGCCCTTGGAGGCTTCTGTTCGGCAGGAACACCCATTGCTGTGCCCTCTCCAGGACAAATCACCCTGATCATCTCCCTCTCCTGGAGGAGGGACAGCTGGCAGCAGCCTTCTGCCCCGGGGGTAGGTCTGCGAAGGGTTCCTTCAGAGACACTGGCCCACTCAGACCTCACTGTGGCTAGCAGGCAGCCAGCTGCAGGCGGATGCTCAGGGCGAGGGAGAGGGAGGAGTCCAGGCTTGGGGATCAGTGTGGACACAGAGGCCACCCAAGAGGGCCACCAGCAAAGCTTCGTGGACACCTGCTGGCTCAGCGTGTTCTGTGGGTCTTTAAATTATGTAATCTACTTAATGACTGGGAACAAATTTGCCAACTTTCTTATTTGGAATTTGCCAGTTTATCCGAACACATAGCACTCCACATCCACACACCTGGATCATTTGAATCAAGAGCAGCTCTTAAACATGCACAGGTGGGTATTTCAGTATCTGAATGTGCTCAGTGCAAAGAACTGGAGAGATCTGGGAGACGAATGCCACTGGCCCGGGCTGCATCCTCACAGGAGCTCCGAGCACTCGGGACACAGAGCCCCTCGGCTGGGGTGCTCCCCACCATCAGCAGAACAACTCTGCCCCTCTCCCAAGAGCCCTCCAGATTCTGGGCCATGGCTGGGGCTGGGGACACAGACATGCGGGCACACACCCACGTGTACTGAGACATCCTGGCCCCTTGCCTTCACTTCCGCTCCAGGAGGAGCACAGAATGAATGCCTCTGTATGTGCATCCCATGAATTAAAAGCTCTGACACATCTTCTCTGGCTGGACTGATACGTGGAGATGCCATCAGCAGTAAACCCCACTGTGCAGCCTGAAAATGCACTCTAACTGCAGGCAGCACTGCACCACCCGTCTGGCTCCCACACCCCGAGCCAGATCCGCAGCCACACCGGCCTGCAGGACCTCGCAGGACTCCAGAGACTGAGTGGTCGCAGGTCCTCAGAGCCTGCTCCACCTGCCAGCAGCAGCTTTCTCGCCAGGCACAGCGGAGGCAGGGACCGGGCCTGGCACAGGAGGGTCCAGAAGGATGAGCAGAGGCAAACCGCCTCCGCCCCACCTACTCACACTCACACGCCACACACAGGCTCTTCCCACTCAGACTCCTCGTGCACACTCTCATAAGACTCACATCGCTCCCCATCACACACACACCACACACCATGGGACACACAGGTTCACACAGACACCAGCCACACCCTTACGCCCGCGGGTAGGACCTGCAGACCGCTCCTTCTATCTAATTCACCCCCGGCCAGGAATCAGCTCCACTCTCCAAGCTTTAACTTCCAGCCTGGGGTGGGGACAAAGGAGCCAGGGCAGGAAGCCGAGGGCAGTGCTGGCTATCTGGGGGCAGCTCACACGGGAGCACTTGCTTAGTGTGCTCGAGGCCCTGGGTCTCATCCCCAGGGTCGCAGTAAGAGAGTAAAGAAAGCAATCCTTGTTCTACTGGAGACAGAAAAACACTTTTGTTTTCTTTCTAAACATTACTTTGATTATAGAAGAAAACAACAAATTTAAGCATTTAACTTCTATCATCAATTGGCCTTTGCCAATACATCAGATTTATACCAGTGCTTTAAAATGAAACTCTTTATGGAGTATAATAGCACAGTCTGACAAAAATATAATGTGAGCTACATGTGTAATTTAGAATTTTCTAGTAGGTATATTAAAATGAACCAAAAGAAATGGGTGAAATCAATTCAGTATTCTATTCAACCCGATAGGTAAAAATATCATTTCAACCTGGAATCAATACAAAACTTACTAGCGGCATCCTTTTTCACACTGCTGCCTGAACCCTGCCCATGCCTAGCACGCCTCCTTGGGGGCCGGCCACCCCTTGCACTCAGGGGCATGTGGGCTGACCATGCAATGACCGAAGGTTGGAAACAGGGACACCTGCGCCCACCTGGGGACTCCCAGTGCCTGGAGGCCCCTTCCAGCCTGGCTCCATCACTCTTATTCCAACTCGGGCTGCGAGGGGGTCTCCGTGCCTGGCCTGGCTGGCAGCACGGTATCAGGTCCGGTGCTCCTGCTGGTGCACAGGCAAACTGAGTGTTGGCCTGTCCACCCGCCGACAGGCCCGTGGGTGAGCTCGCTTCTTTATCCAGGGCAAACACTAGTGGTGCACTGCTGGGCCACAGAGGTGAAATTTACCTTTGTAGGAAATGGCTCCTCCCTGGAAACCTGTGTGAGTGTGGCCACCGCACATCTGGGCAGCACCTGTTAAAGCTGAGCCAGCCTGAGGTGCAAGGCTGCATCTCACGTGGCTCCTCTGGGGTCCGACACCTGTGTTGTACACCTGCCTCTCCATGGGCTCCCTGCCCAGCCCTGTACCTTCTTCACGAAGTACCTGTTGCCCCCTTTGCCTATACTTTTGGTGGGCTGCTCACTTCTCATTATTGAGTTGTAGGAGCTCTACAGTGGCGTGTCAGATGTAGGACCTGACTGCATTTTTATTTTCTTGGTTTAGCCAGCGCTCACGCTCAGATCTGATTGGCTCTGGGTGCTGGGGCCAGGCTCAGCTCTCTCCTTCCAGACCTGCTTCCTGAGCAGCGCTCACTGTGGGCAGCAGCTGCATGTGCCGCTCACGACCAAATAAGCAACCCAACAAATTCAGCGAAAACAAGCTTGTCCCCGGCTGCCACCCTTGAGGTCATGTTCTTCTGCCTCCCTGGCCAGGAAACTGGAGAAACAGGGTGGGCTCGGGTCAGGCCCCTCACTGGGGACGCCTGCTCGCTGGGAGCTTCAGAAACCTCTCTAGCCCCTTTCCTCTTCTTGCCCTAGGCACCTGGAGCCCCTCCCCTCCAGCCGGAAGTCCCTCCTCTCCCACCTGAAGCCCCTCCCCTCCCCCTCCGGGAGCCTAGCAGAAGCCCAAGCCCAAGCCCGAGCCCAAGCCCTGGCCCTGGCCTGTGCCCAGGAGCCGTTCTTGCCACCCACTGGCTATGTCCTGCCCTCACACAGCCTGTCCTATGGCCCCTGCTCTGCCAGGCCCTCTCCCCTCATCTGTCCACACCGCCATGGCCATCCTCCAGGGCTGTGACATTGGTGCCTCCTCAAGGCCAACGTCTTATTCTGGCTGTGCAGATGCTGAGCTGGCCTTGCTGCTCACAGCGCCTCCTCTGAGAGGGCCCCTCCTGCTGCCCCACTGTGCTGCTGCTTCTGTCCCTCACCGGCCCCAGGTAGACGCAGCGGCGCTTCTCCTTCTCCTTGTCCCACAGCCTCCAGGTCCCAGTGTCTACATCTCTCTGCCCTGGGCCCACCCTACCTTTTCTAGTCTGAGCTCTCTGGCCACCACCAGCAAATCACCGTCTCAACTGCTCTCCTCTGCCACCTCTGCCTAACACCAGGCAGGGCTCCAGCCCACCAGGGTGACCACAGGGCCTTTGCACAGCACAGCCCCAGGCTGAGGGTCTCCACTGCAGGCTGCAGACCACGTCACGGTGTGAGGGTCTGAAGGTGCTGATTGCTGGAGATTCTCAGGCACCACCATCCCTTTGCATTTCTGCCACTTGCGGCTTCTCGTGGGCCAGTGGGTTTCACACCTCTCTGTAAGGTTTTGTGTCGCTGGTGGTTACACAAACAGCCAGGGTGCTCCATGACCCTGCAGCATGCACGGCTTCGAAGCTCGAGGAATGGCCTCGTTACAAGAATGTGTCTCAAGGTGTCTGACGCTGGCTGAGAGACGGCTTCAATGGGATGTGGCAGTATTTTAGTACCAGGAATTATACATTCTGAGGCTCTTAGCACAGCTAAAATGTTCCCAATGAAATTGCTGATTACACTTTGGTTTATGAAAGCGACTCTACTGCTCCCTTTCCAGTAACCACAGGACCCTTGAGAGCTGCAGAAAACTGCAACAATCTGCTTTGTGTCGGTGGAGGATGCCACCCTGCTGCCCCCTGCCCTGCAGACAAGGCTTCCAGAGACAGGCGGACACATGGCTTTCTTCAGCTTTCATAAACACGGCTCTCCAGTAGTGTCTGCTCACCATGAAGGCTCTGGTAGGGCCTCATTACAAAACAGTAAAAGCCCAAGGTGCTTACTGACTAGCCCAGCAGTCAGTAAAACACTAGGTAGGAATTTGGAGCAGGCTTTTTGTGTGAGTGGCTCCTTGTGCAGCTGAAAGATGGCACCAAAGGCTAAGAGCGAGGAGCAGGGACTATCCAGGAGTGGCTCTGGGTGAGCTGCCCGCCTCCCCATGTGGATGGTGCCACCGCACGTTTCAGCACCAGTCCTCCCGCCAGGTCCATGGTAGCTACAGTGCTTCAGGGGTTTCCACCTTGCCCTGCTCACCCTGCCTTGCCAGGGGAGAAGTGGGCCCACGCAGATCTGTCATGAGCATGTGCTGTGCTGGCCCCAAGCAGGTCCCGGCGGCCCTGGCACTTACCCGTACCAGAAGCGGGGGTCACTGGAAATGCACTGGTTCAGGTTCCGATGGGCCAGGGCCTTCTTTTTGTTGAGGACAAACTCCTGTAGCTTCATCTTCACCTCTGTGCTGGCCACGGCACCTGGTGAGCGAGAGCAGAGGGGTGAGGCCCAGGAGGCAGTGGGGAGCTACAGTGCACTGTGTCCTAGCTGTAGGACTGGCAGGGCGGGTGGGCAGCAGGCTGTGCAGGCCACTGCTGAGGCTGAGAGCAGCCCGAGTGAGGGCCTTCTTCCCACCAGAGGCTGCACAATCGCTTCCTACTTGAGGTGCGGACTGATCACAGGAAGGACTTGCTGTCTGTTAACACACACCCGTGCCCAAAGGCAGCCTGACACCACACAGGCAGCACTTTGCCGCCCGAGAAGAGGGCTGTGGGGGAGAAGGCTGTGCAGACACGTGCAGGGACGAAGCCATGCCTCGGGGAGGCTGGTCACCAGCACCTCGGGGCCACCACAACGGTGCGGCTTTCTCAAGGCCAGCGGGCGGCCCGTTCTCTCTGGCCTGGCGCCGTATGCACACGAGAGTGGATTCCACTGCGCAGACCAAGGGAAAGCAGCCATGTGCTCTGGCGTATTCTTGTGGTGATGACTGCTGTTGGAAGCTCCATTAAAGAAAACCAGCAGTCCGAAAAACAGAGCAAAAGACCCAAACTGACTCAGGACGCAAGACCTGGCAGTGTGCAAGGCCTGAGCCACAGAGCTGCACCAGGCCACAAGGCACGTCCGCACCCATCTGCGGCTGAGGGCTACCTTGGCATCCCCAGGACTGTACAGTACTCGAACAGCACTCTTAAAGGCACGCCGCACCGCGAGTGGTGAGGGAACATGTCACACAGAACCATGCCCTGCCTGGGTGACCTTGGCTGCTGTCAGGAGCCATGTTGCAACAGACACTTAGGAGCAGATGGCATTGGCCATTCAGAACTACTCAGCTGGCGGATGGCTCCACCTCACAAACTTAAGACAGCCCTGGCACATCTCGCTAAGTTGCTTTCCAAAGCTGCTGCCCACTGGCCGACTCGTCCCCCATCCATGGAGGACAGGGGGCAGATGCCCTTCCCTGGCTCTTGGGTCCCCACTCTGAACATGGAGAAGCTTGGCTGCACGGCGGGGGTGTCCCTGATAACCATTTCTGTCCCATGATGCACTTTACGTCCCAGCTGACTTTGCTCAGCAGTGCTTCCATGCTCTGTGGCAGTGGCCAGGTGGTGGGACTGTGTACGGTTTCATCCATTTGAGTTGTGTGACATTTTTTATAGTAATAAATCTGTTGAGTGCCTACTATATCCCAGCCCTGGCACATGAAGCACTACATGAAGAGACACAGGGATTCTCGTCCCACTGCTGGTGGAGGGTGCAGAGGTGGTCAGGTGAGGCTCCAGCAAGCTCAGGTTGAGGTCAGGGGAGGTTGAGCCCTGGCCCGGTTTCCTTTTAAAATCTGGGTGTCCTGATGTTGGTATGCCTGTTTTCATGAAGCCTATTCTAGTCTTTCCTTTGTGACTTTCACCATTTCTTTGAAGTTTGTCTTTCTTTCAAGGGTTTGATGAACAATCACTTTTAGAATGTGGGTGTGTCTCTGCAGCCCCACCAGGTGCCTAGCATGCACAAGGCCCTGGGTTCATTCCCAACACAGCCAACCCTCCCACAAAAGTCTGATTAAAAAAATTATTTTCAGTCTACCCTTCTTGTTCTGGTGTGGGATTTTCATTCATCCACTTGCTGCTACTATCTTTTCCAAGTTTCACTCTAATATACCTGAAATAGATCTTGGTGTTAAGAGATTCTGTGGGTATTCTGCCAAATTGACAATATATTATTAATATCATTAGAGAAACTATTTTCCTGGCTACCTTTTATCACACATTGAAAGTATCCAGTATTACTCACAAATGGACTTTTCTAGTTACATATAATTTCTGAGTTCTGCATTGCAAGTTCTACTTCAGTTATGTGATGGTGGAAGGACAAAGGTCAGCCAGCAACAGGCTCCGTGGAAAGAGGGTCCAGCCAGGCTGAAGCAGGACCTGGAGCAGCCCGACCTGAGCCCCAGGAAAGAGCTCAGCTGAGAGGGCACAGGCAGGAGGCAGGATAAAGCACAGGCTGTGGTCTGCAGCCACCCAGCATGTGAGCACACAAGTCACTGCTCTTGAGAGGAGCAGCTGAGTGGGGCCCCAGCCTGCACTGTGTCAGGGAGCCCTGACTGATGAGGCTCTGCTGCAGATGCAGGTTGCGCGGGAGGGACCCAGGACCGAAACCAGAGCAGGTCAGCATGTAACGCTGGGGCTCTGCTTCCCAGGTACCCACAACAGACGTGACCCTACTCATCGGCCATGCAGCCTGACGTCTTTCCATCTACAAGTGGGCTCCTCGGGGGCCCACACCGCAGGACTTGTGCTCTGCTGGGACATTCCAGACACGGTCACGGGGCTCTGGAGAGCCACAGGCTAATTCTGAACAAATGCAGGGAGACATAAACCTTGCAGAGGGCCAACCCTATACACACACGAAGCAGTGCCTGCACAGCCAGCAACAAGGAAACGCCCGGCGGCAGGAGGTGGTCAGCAAAAGCCACAGACGAGTCACAGGAATAGCAGCAGTGCCAGCTGGCTTCGCAGGTACACACAGCGAACCCGAACTCACCTTCTGCTGCAAGAAACGAAAGACGAAACAGGAGCTCCCTTTACCTTTACACTGCAAAGTGGCTGGCTCTTGTAATGGAACCACCCAGTGCTGCTGAGAGCGGGGAGAGGGTCAAGGCTACACGATGGGGATGGCGGCAGTAGCAACAATGGTGACTTCCACAGTGACGGCAGCCCTTCAGCCAGAGGGGTGGCCCTTCAGAGCCTCTTGGCAAACCAGTCTGTGTCCACTGGGCTCCCTCCTCAGAAAATGGCCCCCAGATGGGGTGGCCACAGGAGAGGGGGTGCCCTGTGCCCGTGTCCTGCCCTGCAGGTCCCAGGGCCCTCCAGGGAGCCTCATGCCCCCACGCAGGCTGGGGTCACCAGGGGAGCTGCATCTTTGCACTGCCTGGGAGACACCACCTGAGCAAGACCCTGCCAGCATGCAGCAATGGCGGTTCAAGCCGCCTGGCAGCGAGACATGCGAATTATGGCCCTGTCACTAACAGGTAAAGCACAGCTGGTGAGAACGTCAGCAAAGCAAGCCCGGGTTCCTGACCTTTTAAAACAATTAGAAGTCTCTTTTTGTTCTTTCAACTCCACCAAGTGAGAATGAAGAGAGAAAGACTACAATCCCCACTCTTCTCTCCTTTGCTGGCACATGCTCATCTGTCCAGATTTCTCCACTTACAGGAAAGCTCCAGGATTAAAAATCCTTCAGTAAGTAGACAGCACATTTCTCAAATGTTCCTTTTTCTTTTAAAAAAAACTTATTTCATGTTGCTTCTCACTCATCTACTGGACAGGCTTTTACATTCAGCCAACAGGGACAAAGAGGTGAGTGAGACACAGCTGCTCAGCTGCAGGGGTGAGAGGAAGGAGGCCCAGGGTAAGCAGCAAGCTGGCCAGGAGCGAGGAGCAGAAACCTGGGTGGAGTGGGCAGGCGGAGAGGGGCTGCTGCTGCCGACAGGGGGTCCCCAGAAGGTGCTGAGTGATGGGGCCCCGGACATGCTCCATGGGACGAGCAGCAGAGTCCAGCTTGGCTTCCCCGAGTCTGACACCCTCTGGCCTCACTTGCCTGCGAGGAAGGCAAGGTTTCACAGGTGGGACAAAGAGCCACCTTCCACGTCAGGTGTCGGACCTCTGAATCTAGCCTTCCGTGCATCTGTCTGCCTGTCTGCGTGTCTATTTTTGTGGTGCTGGGGATGGAACCCAGGGCTTTGAGTGTGCCAGGAAGTGCTCTACCTCTGAGCTGCAGCCCAGTGCAGCGCCGGGTTTAAACACCGTGCAGGATGGTCCCAACGGCCACCCACCCCAGTAGGGTCCAGCTTGGCCTGTGGTGAGCAGTGATGCCCGGCTAGCTATCGGCATGAGGCAGACCTGCCTTGGCTCAGACAGGGGCTCTGACAGCGGATCTTAGGTTCTGAAGTGTCAGGAGTTAAAACAAATAAAACCTGACGAGTGTGCCCCTGCTACAGGGAGGGAAAACAGTCAGACGCTCTAAGAATTCAGTGCTCTACCAAATTTCTAGTTTTGCTTGATATCAATAAACAAAACTGCAGAATTATCTAGACTCCAAATGTTTATAAATTTAACACAACTTTTTATGAAATATTTAGTAAGAAGCTCATTTAAAACAAAACCTCAAGAAACTAAATAGCAGATGCTTTGTGGTTCATTTGCAAACCCTTAAAAACTGAGATGCCCTGAGTCATTTGCTCTGCCCTCAGCTGTGTTTTAAATTGGCACCAACAAGACCCCATCATGGGGGAGGTGCCTGGCCTGATGCCCTAAGGGCCCCCAAGAGCATTCACCGCCACACCTGCCAGCCGGGCCTCTCACCACAAGACCACTCGGTGGGCTGCGGAGCCCATGAAAGCTTGCCAAGAACCAACTGCACACAGTTTATTATTAATAATAAAGCCTGGCCACCCAAATCCACAGAGCAAAACTGCTGGGGCTGCCACCTGTGCCAGGGCTGGAGAGCAACAGAGAATATTCTGGCACCCGTTAAGGGTGGATGGGTCTTAATGTGTAGCACAGAAATTGTTTTTGACTGGCAAACAGATCCAGAAGGCTTTCTAAAGTCCAATCTTTTCATATTCTGTGAGCCTTCGATGATACTTTTATTGCCAGATTCTGGTACACCCCAAGGAAGTAATTCAGATTGAGTTGCTTTATAGCAACCAGAAAAACTGTTATTTGTTGGGCAGCTGTGGCACAGATAAGCTAGCTGATACTTAAAATGTGAACTTCAATCCTTGGATAAAGAACCACTGTTTCTCCTACTCTACAAGAAGCAAGTAAATAGGGTACATGCTGAGGCACAGGGGAAGTAAGGGGCAGAGAGGGACATGGGTCCCGGGCACACGATGGCACCGCAGCGGCAGCATCTGAGCAGCACACACACGGTCAAGCATCCGTTGCTGCTGTCCAGGGGAGACGGGGTGGAGGGTGAGGGGGCA